AGCTTATTGAGCTCTTAAAGTTATGTAGATAATGCTCAAGAACACATTTTCCATCCCAGGAGCAAGCAAGCCTGAACACATATTTTACAATACAAATTGTGATGCAAAACAACAGGCAGACACATCAGGTGATCCATGGTTTCAAGACGTGGGCATGTGCGTTGACATCTGGCATTTCCTGAACAAACACAAGGTGACACATGAGTTCTGCCAACTAAATTGCAACCCAGCAATGTACCCTGAGCTACAGGATGATGACGGGAACTGGTTTTTCAACACGTCGGTTGCAGGGCAGACAAATACATGGCTTGGCGGATACAGCTCAATCATCAGAGAGATGCTCCCTGACAAGTATGATTTTTTCCTTGACGAAATGATCAGGCTCCATAATGCCGAAGTGCTCCAGAGGTTGGAGAAGGAGGGACACTGCCCTCGTATTTTGTAATCATGGTGTTGTTCTATTACATGTTTCTTCATTACACAACAGAGTCCAAGACAAGTGGAAGTAAGTAAGGTGTTGCTGAAGGCAGGAGGGATATGGAAAGAAGTTAAGATATGTAGCACAATAAAATCTAAAGTACAATTACTGTCTGAGAGGATACTGGCGCGCAAACACTGACCAGCGGCCAGCAGGCGTACCTCCACCAGCTACAGCCTCCTCATGGTGATCCTCAGAGGCGGCCTTCCATCGGGTGCATGCGTTGTAGTATGTTGCAAGCTTAACCTTACAGCCAAACACATGCTCGAGCCGCTCTTCCAGCATACCGAAGTGCTTTCTCATCTCCCGACTATCGATCTTATCAAATACGTCTTGCATGTCAACAACATAGCAATTGCCAGGCCATTTTGAAGTTGACTTATGTGAGGATGTCGAGATGGGGGAAGGAATTGAGGAGGGGGATGATGGTACTGGTGGAGAGGAGGGGCTTGTGAGAGCAAAGGATGATGATGATGAGGATCCTTGGGACATGGAGGATGTCCAGAGGGATGAGGGGGATGTGGATGATGTTATGGGAGAATCAGGAATTGTGACGATGGGAATCATGAGGGGAGTGAGACTAGGGAGGTGTCGCTTTCATGCCAAAGCCTTGGGTGTGATGGTGAGGTCAAGAATTTGCACCTCGGAAGGGGGCGATGATCGAGGAGATGGCGTGAGGGTGGCTTTGTGCTTGCGCGACACTCATACACTACTCCGATCACCTGGCATGTTGGTGCGAAGGTGAGTGTTCTTCCTCATGATGGTAGCAAGTTCCTTGTCGAAGTCCAAACACTTGACATTTCGGCAACGAAAGAGGAGGTGGGTGTTGGTAGATACGGAGTGTGGCCAGCTGGCATCAACTTGGACCCAGTGACGACTGGGGATGTTGTAGACATCAAGCACTTCAGTTCCGAGCTTCTCCAGGGTCTTTGGGCATTGTGCTAACGTCCATGTTGGCCACCCCTGTAAAACTTGCACTGATAGAACCTCAGGTGGTGCACCATCCTACAAGGAGCATTAAAAGGGATGCAGGTGATGGACATGTCGTTAACGACTGCTTACCTGTCGCCAGAACATGATAAAAAATTTGTGGAGCAGTGCCATGTCACCCTGCGCTTGCCCTCGCTTCTTCAACAGTTGCGACGTCTTGTCTTCATAACCCCGCATCCATTCAGAACGAAGATGGATTGTGTGCTTTGGAGCCTTGGTGCTAGTGCTGGGGGGTGGTGCTGGAGGAGAGGGTGTAAAACGAACCAGGGACAATGGGCCAGAACGTGAGGAGGCAACACGTGAGGAAGAGGCAACATGCGAGGAAGAGGTGATACATGAGGAGGAGGCAAAGTGCGAGGAGGTAATGTGTGAGGTGGAGGCAAAGTCTGAAGGAGAGGAATGAGTGTTGTTGTGTGGTGGAGAGTGACTGAGAGAAGCTGCAAGGGCTGCCTGATAATCAGCCTCTTCCTTGGCTTCGTCCGCAAGCTCCTGTGCACGAGCAAGTTTGGCCTCCCGTGTTGAAGCCTCCACAGAACGCATGAACTGGACAGTGGGGTCCATGTTCGCAATCACAATCTGGAGCTCCTCCCCAGGAGAAAGTGATCACGTAGGAGGGGGATGGTGAACTGAGGAGGAAGATGTGGCTGCGGACACCTGTGGTTGTTTCCCTTTCCGCTTATTGGCAACTACCATAGCGACCGTGTGGATACTGCAACCTGTGTGCACAACACAGCATTTCTTGCACATGAGCCGGATGCAGACCGAGTTTGCAACCCTGTGGCATTTGCTTTCACTGCACTTGGACGAGGCTTTGACTGACAAGGTGGTTGTAGAGGAATGAGAGGTGGGCGCTGAAATGGCATTGGGTGCAACGCCTGGCATAAAGGTGTAGTGGTAGTGGTGGGCATGGCACTGGAACAAAAGAGAATAAGATTGTGCAAAGGAAGTGTCCTCGTCAACTTACCCATATGTAATACTGGCCAGGGAAATTACTACCTGCCGCAAGCTTGACTTTGAGAGCGCAATGACACGCAGGACTAGTGTTTAAAGGTTCAGTCCATAGGACCGCAAAAAACCGGTGGACCGAACTGAACCGGACCATGGTCCGGTCTTTTTTTCGGTTGCAGTTGCCCCAATTTGGGGTTGGTCCGGTTGCCAGTTGCCTCATTTCGAAAATCTTTTAAAACCGTTCAAAGGCCGGTTTTAATCGGTTGCAACCGGTTAAACGGTCACGTGCGTTACATAGCCTTGTAACCACGTTTATTGCCTTTTATTGGGTTTTTGTTTCATCAAAAACGGTTAAGAATTGAGAAAGATATAACCAAATCCATATTTTACCTGAGTCTCTATGAGATGTAATTCGGTTTCAGTCATAGCTATGTCAAATCTTCATTAAATCTCTTGAAAATTGGTAGAATGATGGGTATTTATATGCTTTACTATTTTATATAACCCATTTATTTTTCAGAGTAATAATGATTGAGATACAAATGGTTTATATTGGTATAATAAATTATACGCAAAAAAACCGGTCTGGATCGGTCTGAACCGGTATCATGGACCGCAAAAGACCGGTCCTAGGTGGTTCGGTTCGGTTCCCTCAATATCTGGGTCGGTCCTGGACCGGTTGCGGTCCACGGTCGCGCGTTTTCGGGGCAAAAAACCGGACTGAACTGAACCTTTAAACACTACGCAGGACAGGAATTTGGGCTGTTGATGTTGGGAATGACAGGATTCATGGTGGTGGAAGGAGTGTGAAACAGTTCATGAAGATATAGATGACTATATGTGCATTAACGGAGGGGTATGTAAGGTATCGACATGGGGGAAGAGGGAGACACAGGAGGAATGCGTAGCACACCGGTGTTTGGACCAATGTAGCCGCCAAACATTCCGCCACACATTTCGCCACATACACTGCCAAACATTCCAATTCTGACATTTTTTGCAGATTATATAACCATCAGATATTTAGTTCTCCTCCTGGGTACGAAAGCATCGCGAGACGAGCGGCTGCTTTTAGGAGCCTGGATCGACCAATGAAATGTTAATAAAGAAAAGTGCATCACTCAAGGATTGAACCAAAAACCTCAGACTCATGGCCTACGTATGCAAAGACTACAAATTTGTAGTGCAACATAACCATTTGACTACATGACCTATTAGAAAACTCCCAAGGCCGCTAATATATCCAATCTCTCACCCAAACTTAAACAAGAAAATCTTCCAGTGCTGCAACATAGGGGAGGTTTTCTCCTGTAATTAATGCATAGTATGTGGGGCTCTTTCCAATAGAATACAAATTTTTATGAAATCTACTGTACTTCGTTTACAGCTAAATGCAAAACCCTAGACACCTCTCAGAAATTTCTTGACTCCGCTTTGCTTTGTGTAAACAACCATTTGAGGAAGGAAGCGGGCACCTATGATGCAAATCCTGCACCAATTCAGGTATATGTAATGTAATGGAGTGCTCCACACTCCAATTGAGGTTATAATGATACAGACTTGTGCCAAATGTGGTTGTTTGCACAAAGTGAGGCAGAGACCAGAAATTATCGGGAGGTGTCTAGGGTTTTGCATTTAGCTGTAAGCCATTGGAACGTCGTTGCATTGCGATTGCAACCAAGTGTCAACAAAGACAAGTGATTACAACTGGTTCAAACTCCGACATAATCGTGATTGAAACTCCGGCTGGTTGCAACCTAGTGTTGCCGCAAGGGAAGGTGAAGGTCACCTTGAGGTGACAGCCCTGTCACCTTGAGTTACCTTGATGTGACCTCAAGGTATTTTCCAGATTAGGAAAACGAAAGAGAATCAGCTCGCAGCAAGTTTGCAGCCACGTAGAATCATAACTATATCATGTAGTATTGTAACATACATCTGAGTACTGGTCAACAGAGGGTCCCTGTGGTTGAGTGAGGTGACCTGTCAACTAAATATGCACATGGCGAGCCAAGAAGTAATTTTAGGGTATTGAGTTGACGAGCAATTGACAAGTTACGAAAAAATCATCCATACAGAGGGGCGAAACATGGGGTACATAGATCTCCTCCTCAACAAACACCCATTTGTCATTGCAGTCTGTCCTTTCTGAAGCAGATGTGAATCTGAGAATTTGAAGCTTCTCCATCAATTCCGGTGCAAGGTTGTTTCGGCAAAGGGTGTCAGTTTCTTTGCTTTACAAGAACATGCACTCTGATGGAGCAGAGGATGCTTGAACTGGAAAAACATCCAACGTGACGTGGTACATTGTCTTCTTCCTTTTATTCACCTGATAGTGCCATAGCAGCATCGTTCAATTGATCAAATTGAAAGACATGAAACTAGGCATTATTGGTTCCAGAGTATAACTAGAAATGAGATTCAAAAAATTGATCGGCGCGGTGGAGTGCTGATGTTCAGCGTCGAGCAACAAGTTTGGGCGCATGGAACGACAAAACTCGTCACAAGAAAGGCTGAGTGGCCCGGCCGTGCCGCTGGCCTATGAGAATTTTTTCCCGAAGTGGCACATTTACCTTGATGCACCTTGACACTCCTTGACGTTGACAATTTCCTTTTGCATCGCCTCAAGGTGACCTTGCCTTCAAGGCACCTTTCCTTGCGGCAACACTATTGCAACCAACAAAAAAAAAGTCCGACAGTCATCTCAAAGAATATTACAAAAGTTGTCAACGAAGTCAGGCATGTCGCAACGTCTCTCGACCAAATTGACCAAAAGTCCTCATCTGAGGCGCTGTGCTCATCGTGCCTCTAGTAAAAGCCCATATAATGCTTATTTGCCACCTCCCGCGCCCTGGCACTCAATGACTCGGATAGAGACAGGGATGCCGCTATCATCGCCTGCCGTCAGCATTTCGTCGTCATCGATAGGCCTGTCGCGCGCTCTTCGGGTTGTACATACCTCTTCTTCATCAGGCGCGAGGTCCTGTGGTTGTTTACTTGTTATTCCCCAGTTAACCCCCCGCATTCAACGACCCACTGCAGTCTAATCGCACATTTGAAAATGTACCGCGAGGGCTGAACCGCGCCTCAGCTTCCCTTCTCGATCTCCCGACCCCCTGACCTGTTATCATCCTCAACATTCGGACACGCAAAGTCGCCAGACATGTCTATGCTCCCCCTGTCCATAATATTTTGTACCAGTTTATGAAACCTTTTCCTCCCGCCTCTCGCCACATTGCGACGGCTAACACCGTTGCCTTCCACATTCGCGACACCTTTTCTCACTTCTTCCAATGAGCCTGCACCTATTTTCAGGTTACCGCACGCGACCGACGTGCCTTCATGTTCAGCGACGCCTTGCTGACACCCAGTTTTGATTCACAACTAAAACGTCGAAAGCTCTGGCGTATAATTTCGCGATACGAGTACATATCGTAGCTCCTCGAGGTTACCTTTTGTACAGCCTTTTCCGCCTCTACAAGACAAGCCCCTTCTTCTACAGCACGCTCTGCCTCCTCTTCTTCCACTGGGTTCTTCCACAACGTCATCGCTGACAAGGGCCGGCACCTGGTCTTCCAACTCCAACTCCAGCTCAAAAACCACAATCTCACTGCCTCCAGCAACGCCCAAATCCGCTACCGTCCTCCCACCTCCCAGAACACCAACAAAGACTCAAGAGCGGCTCAAGGTCTTCTTCACCTCGTCTTTCAAGACCAGTGCGAGTGGTCCGAATTCGAATTCGATGCTGTGTCCAACGAGAAGGGTGCACAAATACAGACGCGCGCAGCACCAGCACAAACGCGTCTTCTGTCAATTATGTTGAGCAGACGTTACGCTTGTGACCTATGATCCCCCGCGTGCGTACAGACGGTTAACGCAATTATGGGTTCCTGTATGCTATCGGCATGGGCTTGATATCTCTACGAAGATGCCGTTGTTCGTGGTGAGTTGACCTTGAAGAAATTTGGCAGGTAATCTTGCGCATCTATGTCAAAATTTTGTGGCTCTACAGACTACGTGTCAGTAGCTTGTGGTCTGTGCCATGTGGTTTGTGGGTTTGATGACCCATCTCAGCTGAGTAGCAGGCTCGAACTCGAGGTACTAAACATGCGGTGTGGTGATAAAATCAGAAAACTTGAAATTGGACCTCGAGGGCAAACCTAGGCCTACCCGTGCACCCGAATCAAATCTAGCTTTTTGAGCTAGATACCAAGCCCTTGCACCCTATTGAAACGATCCGTTTATCGAGTTTTTCCAACGGGTAGATGATAACCTGTTAACGGTTTCGTCATTTTATGATTTAGTGGGAACGGTTAATTGGACGAACAACATATTATATGTCTGAGGAACCCAGTAAGCGGGTTATGCACCTGGTGGCCTGGTTCTCATGATTCCTTGCTAACGGGTTTGTTTCAACACCTTCACTGAGCGTCTTCAGGTGCACAGTGAGAACGGCAGGGCGGAGCCGACCCCGATGCCCAACCGATGGCACCCCGCACTGTGCGGAATTCGAATCACAGGGGTTTGAATTTCTGATCGACCTCGAGTTTGGCTAGGATGGAATTTGGGTGGTTTCGCGATACACCATTTACGGTCCGGGTGCAAGTAGGTCCACGTATCCGAGTCGCCTTTTGTTTGGAACAAAAATTTGAGGGCGTTCGCGCGTCTTTCAATGTCTTTCGTACAGCCCTTCGTGTACATAGAAAGGTAAATGTAAGACGAACCTGAAGCCGCATCCAATACGGTGACATTGTCATGTAAGTTAAAAATAGAACGCCAAGCACTTTTTGCTCATGATCAAACATTCCTGTGTGGTACTTGAGCTGCAGTGTCCCTACCGGAGCTTTTGTCGGCTAGATCTTGGATGTGGTGGTGGTGCTTCTTCTTATCTGATGTCTCCTCGAGCTTCTCCACCCATGATGATTGGCACTTATTCCTGAATTTGGGATGTTGGGGTGGATGAAAGATGGTTGGGCGTCAGGCTGGACGGCGAGATCGAGCACGAGGCGATGCGTTTGGAAATTTACCTCATTATATTTCGTCGTCTCCATGGCCAGGTTCGTCGTGACATTTAATAGAATTGTCTGTCAAGGAAGAATGCACGACGGCTGTCACTAGATCTATTTCTTACTCGTTTTTTTTTGTTCCTTGTTGGCCCTTGAACTGTAATTTTACTCGATTCGAGAGCGTTGAAAGAGTGACATGCATTTCGTATCACCGCAGACGACTGTGCCTACTGTGTACACATCCGTACTCACCGTGCGTGAAGATCAAGAAGTCAAACAACAAGGCGTCGGATTTGGTCGCCTACAGGACAAAATGCAAGCGATTAACATGGCGGTGATAGGGTAAATTTTTTGTCATGTTCCTTGGTGAGGCAAAGCTGCGAAGCGAGGCGCGATAACTACTTACGAGGTCAATTTCGCGGCGTATATTCGCAGATTCAATAAATTCATGACCGACACTGACCGTTTATTGAGCAGGAATTTTCGGTTGGAACTAGGAAATTACCTTGGGTACGATACGCGATACGACCCCTCTTTGCGCGCCTGTGCACGGTGCAACCGCTGATGACAAAAAGAACTTGAATGATGGAGCTACTAAGTTAAGGGATAAGGCGGCCTTGATCTATAAATAGAACACTCTCATGTCCGTTTGTTTCTTTGCGACGACTCGAGCTCTGTTCAACCTCGACTCTTCTCGACCTCTTACTTGGAGATGTGTACCACTGGTTGGCCCGCTCCGTTGTCTTCGTGCAGATCCTTGATATTGAACGACAATGAAGTCGAGATGATCAATCAAATCTATTTATAGCACAATTTCTCCTTGTTGTCGCCGCATCAACTGACAAACTTGTTCGGTTTTGAGAAGAATGGTCAACCGGTTAGGGGACGATGTGATGACACATACACGGCAAGGGTCCACAGCGCCCAAGGTTCCCTACTTTTGTTTCATGTAGACGTCCGATTTGCCCATGGGCAGGATTTCGCCTCAATGTTTTTTTTTTGCGAGGGTATTGGGGAGCCAGCTTGACTGGGGGATTATTATTTTTCTGGTATGATGGACATTGGGGAGTGTGGAGCGACGGATGTGCCGTCTTGAGCGGGGGGTTGGAGTTCCACCAGAAAATATTGAGGTCCGCTCGATCTAAAGCGATCCATGTGGGAAGGTATTCACATAATTCAGACTATTTCGGGTCTTCCCTTCCAAATTACCTCCTGAACTATCGCTCTTGAGTTAAAATTCCGTGGAAAATTTTACGTTACATGGACATGCGTCGATATTCGGGCGCGCCGTGAGGTAAAGTTGGCCACCCTGACATAGGGAGTGGGGGCATAAATAGAACAAGCCGGCAACGGGGGCCAAGCATTCTCGCGATTTATATCACCCACTTAAGCCGTTCCATCTTCTTCGTCTTGCCTTGCCTTTTCCCCGCTTCAACTACGCTCCTTCCTTGCCGAATCAACCAATAGCTGATATGTCTTCGTCGCTTGATGTCCTCGAGAAGGGTGCCGTGCACGCCAGCAACCCTCATATCAATTATTCCCAAACGAATGGCTACGCAGCTCCCCGTCCTTCCAAGATCGCTAACCCCGGTACATTGTACGCTCGCTATTTCTGAAGTCGTCCTCCCCGTTCTCACTTTATTCCTTACAGAGGTCTCTTTTCATTCGCGTCTACCACTTTGATCCTCTCGTTGTACAACTTGGGCACACGGAGCATCACCCACCCCAACGTCGTCGTCGGCATGGCTGTTTTCTGCGGCGGCCTCGCTCAACTTCTTGCAGGCATGTGGGAGTTCCCCAAGGGAAATGCGTTCGGTGCCACCGGTACGTTGAATTTCAAATTACCCCGCTGCCCCAGGTTTTCCTCTTGTCGCGTTTACTTGGCGCGTCGGCGCATACTATAGAGTCCAAGTATGCTGATAATATTGTAATAGCGTTCACGTCGTTTGGCGCGTTCTGGATGTCCTTCGCGACGATCCTCATCCCCGGCAGTGGCGTCGGTGCCGCATATACCAGTGCTGAAGAATTCGACTCTGCCCTCGGGATTTACCTTACCACCTGGGCGGTGCTCACGTTCCTCCTCACGTGGGTTTTCTATTTTTAGCCCTCGAAATGTCTTTTTTGAATCTTGATATTCCGTCGTAGAATTGCCACCCTCCGCAAGAACTTGGCGCTTATTACGCTGTTCAGTCTGCTCACTCTTACCTTCATTGTCCTCGCTGGAGGCGCTTTCTCAGGTATCGCCAAGTAAGTGACGTAGTCTTGTGCACACAGACATGGGCTGATCATTTTGCGATGCAGTGTGACCAAAGCTGGTGGTGGTTTGGGCGTTGTCACTGCCTTGGTTGCGTACTACATAGGCTTGAGCGAGCTTCTCAGCGCCGAGGATCAGGCCCTCTTCCACCTCCCCCTTGGTACCTTCTCGAAGAATTGATCCACCTGCCAGTGGGACGCATCCTCATCCTGTTTTCTACATACCAAGCACACTGTTACCCCCTGACTCTTTACTCTAGCCATCCTTGTAAAATGTAGTTGTCATTGGTTTTGTGAATTGTATATATACCATACCCTTCCTTCTACAACGATTCCCTGTTTTTGCTGGATGGTTGGTAGATCTAGATGACTTGGACAGTGACTTTGTTGTGCTTTTCTCTTGTTTTTTCTTCTTGCGGTTCTCAGTCTTTGGGCCTCTCGGTTGTTGGTACCGACCACACTCTTTTATCCAGTCCACTCTTTCAAGATTTTTGTCACCATGTAATGTCTATCAAAAGTAATCCACGCGGCCAGTGTTTCTTGAATTCGCAGCTTTGTGTCAAACGATCTCTTCCCTTTTTGTCGTCGCCTTTCTACTCTTCCTTCCTGTGTACTTTCAGCACCTGCACGATGCTAAGATGTGAGAAGTCGGTCATCAATAAACACAGCCCAACACCACGGTCTTCCAAGTAACCAAGTCCGCCAAATCATACCTCCTACCCACCTCTGACTGGATCACCCGCAACGCTGAGCCTAATCTGACAAACGTACCGCACATCCCGAGTTGCTGGAGCTGAGAACGAGAATTTTGAACGAGACAGTACCATCGACGACGGTCAGGGCCGTCGTCTACCTCTGCTTGCCAACACAATGTCTCTACCCCTAGAACTCGTCCGAGAAATCATCGACCTCCGGCTCTTCTCCGCCCCACCACACTCTTGGACTCCAGAAGATCCCGGCTGTTCAACAAAACCCAGATGGGGCACAATCCATGCGCTCAGCCTCACTTCGAAAAGCTACCGCGCCCTAGTGCTCGAAGCATGGTTCAGAACTCTCTACGTCAAATCGCCACAGAATTTAGTCTTCTTGCAAAAGTCGTTTCCTGAGCTGGGGAGTGAATGGACCAAACACCTCCACTGCGTCCAACCATACAGCCACATCCTCCCTTTCTGGAACCTCTCCTCCTTCCCCCGCGTTTCCTCCATTAGACTGGACTGCATCAGCTCCCCTGACTTTTGCACACTTCCCTTTTTCACACCTTTCCTCCACGGTAGAACATCTTGACTTGCGCAGAGCGACGTGGTTTGATCTTGGGGCAATTCAAGGTATTGCTGATACCCCAGGCTTTGGGCACTTGAAGACGTTGAAGATGGTGCAAAGCAGAATGTGGTGTGAGATTTGCCAAGCTTGCTGCATGGTCGGGTTCAAAGACAGGCCTACGAGTTTGGTGCACGAGGGGGGGTTGGGGTTGCCTGTGAGTTTTGATCTGGTCGGCATTGAGTGAAAATGACAATGAAGTGCGTAGATCCTCTACGCGCGTGTTTTAGCACCCCTTGAATGCCTCGAAGAAGTTGTGATTATGATAACCAACAATGGCTTTGGGTGGACTACATTAAACGTAAACCCGAACTTATGGTCGGGTGAATGTGATGCGTGTATGATGATGATGTGCGACAATGATGCGTTCCGCGAGAAGTGGGTTGCTAGGAAGAAACGCGTCGGTCTGGCGTCCGGCGATGGTGGAAACGATGATGGCCAGAAAGATGTGAGGCCACCGAACTTGAGGAGGGTGGAGTACCGGTTCTCTATAGTGAATGGCTAGGAGGGAACGACGGCTACGACGACCGGGAGGAGCATATTGAGGATTACGAGGACGTTGAAATGACTCTGCCCCAGGTGTTCAGGATCCTCAAGACCCCATCCAAGCAACCTAGTCGACTTCCTACCCTCCTCCAAACGGGGCAAGGATGCGGAGAATCGCCTTGGGACCCTCCCGGTTGTGCCTTCCAGAGCGCATGAATCCGGTGGTCGTCACGGTGGAACGGATGTGTTCCTCATTGCTCTTCCGATCTGCACATCATATTTTCCATGATTTTCATCTGGGCTCTCTTGTTAATGCACTGTTGGATTGAGTGAAGTATACCCGCTTGGTTAGTACGTAGATAGTCTGGATTTTTTCCTGTCCAGTCCGATGTCCGCCTGCCGTCTGTCTCAGACATCGACGTGCATATCACTGCAACAGCTACTTGCCACCACAATGTCGTTGCCCCTTCCTACAGAACTAATCCGCAAAGTCATCTCCTTCACACACTCCCCTGCCCCACCACACTCTATCCCAGAATATCTCGGCGGTTCACCTAAACCCTGGTATTGGCACGAACTCGACGCGCTCAGTCTCACCTCAAGAACGTAGCGTGCCCTCGCCCTTGAAGCTTGGTTCCACGCTCTCCGTATTGAGTCGCCTGAGGACTTGGAATATGTAAGGTGCTGTTGGCCTGAGGTGGGAGTGTGGACTAGACACCTACACTGCATCCAATCCGGCAGTAGCGCCCTCCTTTGGGACCTCTCCTGTCTTCTACACCTCTCCTCCATCCGGCTGGATTGGTTTTCACCTAACCTCTCGCCATCTTTTTATTCCTCCCTCAGTAATTCATGCATCCTGCCCTTCCTCAACTGTCCCTCTTCGGTCGAACACCTTGACCTACGCGTAATGTCGTGGCCTACTCCTGAGGAGTTCCAGAATATCCCTCGTACCCCGGGCCTTGGGTATTTGAAGACTTTGGAAATAAAGCAAGGCCTGGCGTGGTGTGGGCGCCGCTGTGGGTTCTCTAGTGTCCGATCCAAGGGCAGGAAGATTGGGTTGGTATATGAGGGGGGTTATGGGTTGTCTGTGGGTGCTAATTTGCTCAATTTCTGAGTATTTGTGACGATGTCATTCATAGATCGACTATGCGCGCGCTCTGGCCCCACTTGAATGCCTAGAAGAAGTCGTGATCATTGTTAACAAGTACAACTTTGGGACCACACTTGATCAACTCCTAACAACCCCACATCCAGACCCGAAGTGGGTTGTTGGTGTTTGCCGCGATGATGATGGCAAAAAGGATGCGAGGCTACCCAAGTTGAGGAGGGTGGAGTGGCGGTTCTGTGATCATGACAGATTACGCCGCTAGTGATAGTCTCCAGTGGTTCTTGGTAGGTATTTTTCTTTGGTATTTGGACAATGGCTTGACGAGTTAAGGATACGATAGGCCAGGAAATGAGGATGTCCCTCGTCTTTGGGCCCTTCGAGATCGGCTGCCGAGCCGGAATGTCCCATTAAGGAATCAGGGCATACGATGAAATTCGCTCGTTTCTTGGTGCTGGGCGTTCTTACTGCATTGATTGCGTAGTACCCGCAGGCTTGTGCGCGCTTCTCACCCCCAAGGAGTGTCAGGCCATCGTCCACCTCCCCCTTGACGTCTTCTCGAAGAGTTGGTCCACGGACCACACGGCACCCATCCTCAGGCCTCAGCAACATGATCCTGTTTTCTATCCATTGACCCCCTGGCTTTTACTCTAGCCATCTGTAAAATGTCTTTGTCGTTGGATTTTGTGAATATCATAACGATCCCCTGCGTTCACTGTGTGGTTGGTAGATTAGATGATGCTTTTCTGTTTTATTTTTTTGGTTTTATTTTTTTTTTCTTCTGGCGGTTTTCAGACTTCGGCCTCTCGGTTAATTAACGTTGTTAGTGCCACTTCTATCCAGTCTGCTCCTTGGAGATTTTGTAATGTCTATCAAAAGTGATCCACGCGACTGGCAGTGTTTCTCGAATTTCGCACCCTCCTCTGACTGGATCCACAACACTGACGCCTGATCTGACAAACGCCACGCTGCACGCACCCCAAAAATTTTGAACCATCGAGCCGTCGTCTACCTCTACTTGCCAACACAATGTCTCTCCCCCTAGAACTAGTACGAGAAATCATCCATCTTCTGCTCTTCTCCGCCCCACCGCAGTCCTCGACTCCGGAAAAGCCTGGCTATTCAACTAAACCCACATGGGGCACGGTCAATGCGCTCAGCCTCACTTCACAAAACTACCGCGCTCTAGTGCTGGAAGCGTGGTTTCGGACTCTCTTCATCGAATCACCAGAGGATCTTAGCTTTTTACGGCACTCAGGCTGGTTTCCTGAGCTAAGGAGTAAATGGACCAGACACCTCCATTGTGTCCAACCATACAACAACATCCTCTCCTTCTGGAATCTCTCCTCCTTCCTCCGTGTTTCCTCCATTAGACTGGACTGGCTCTCCCCTAACCTCTTCCCATTCATGACCCTCCCACACGCTGACTTGGACACACTACCCTTTACACACCTCTCCTCCATGGTTGAACATTTTGACCTGCGCGGAAGGATCTGGCCTGATCCTGGGGTGATACAAGCTATTGCTGATACCCCAGGCTTTGGGCATTTGAAGACATTGAAGATGGTGCAAGACACTGTGTGGTGTGGGCTTTGCAATACTTGCTGTCTTGTCCAATTCAAAGACAGGCCGACGGGGGTGGTGTATGAAGGGGGCTTGGGGTTGCCTGTGAGTTCTGTTCTACCCAGCGTTGAAAAAAACTAAACTGACAATGACAGACGTAGATCCACTACGCACGTATTCTAGCACCACTTGAATACCTTGAAGAAGTTGTGACTATTATACCCAACCATGGCCTTGGATTTACTACATTGGGTTCGACAGACCCAGACTCAAATACGGACACGAACCCAGAGACATCCAACACAAATTTAAACCCGAACTCATGGTCGGGTGAATGCGATACCTGTATGGTGATGATGTACGACGATGATGCCTTCCGTGAGAAGTGGGTGGCTAGGAAGAGACGTGTCGGTCTGGCTGGTGGTAACGATGATGGCCAGAAAGATGTGCGGCCACCGAAGTTGAGGAGGGTGGAGTACCGGTTCACTACAGTGGATAACGGGGAGGAGGAGAAGCGCTTTGAGGATTACGAGGACGTGGATACTAGTGATAGTGAGTTTGATCATAATGGTTTGGAATGGGATTGAGTGGGGGGTTCGGTTCTTGGTGGGCGTCCTGACTTCTGACGATGGAGAACAATTCGTTGACGCTTTGATGAATAGGATTGGCGACACAATGGGAAGGGGATGCTACCTGCCTCTGGCCGTTCGACCTAGAGAATAACACTCCCTTTTCCCAAGGTATCAGTGAGGGCAGATTTGTGTGCTGGGCACATTCAAGTGCACTGTGCCATAACCAGCTCTCTATGTTATAAGCGGTTACTCACGAATACGCTCTCGAAAGGCACAAGAGCTCGGAATGCCTTATTAGACCGATTCATCGATACCTCTCCTAGTAGGACATCCGGGTGTCGTCCATCAATTCATCCAACAATGGGAAGTCAATTGAACTCACCTTTGGAGCAGGATCGCGTGACGCGTCGATGGATGCAACTGTTGTCTTTCTCTGTTCACGATCCTCAACCCCCCATTTAAGTAACCAGTCGACTTCCTACCCTTTTCCCAACGGCACAAGGATGCAGAATGTATGCGACTGAAACCCCGAATCGCCTTAGGACCCTCCCGGTTGTTATATATATATGTCGGATCTTTCCTGAGTGCATGAACACGGTGGTTGTGGAACAAATGTGTTTCTCGTCGTTCTTTGTCTATGCATTGTATCTTATCGTCATTTTCATTAGGGCCCTCTTATAAATGTACCATTTGATGAAGTGAACTATACCCGCTTTTGATGGCTGGTTAGTACATAGTCTGGACGGTTTTTCCCCTTTCTTCCGACTATACTCTGGCTCATCGATCATCATGGATTGCTCAAGCGCAGCAGAGGCGATGCAGATATGGACGCACATATATGGACGCACATACCCATCTTCGCTCCAATAGGCCGTGGCAAGACTTCTACCTCTACTTGCCACCACGATGTCGTTGCCACTTCCACCAGAATTTACTCGCAAAATCATCTATTTTACACTCTCCTCTAGACCTGCCCCACAGCACTTCTCTGCCCACAGGATCTCGGCTGTTCAACTAAACCCAGTTGGTACGCACTCAACGTGCTCAGTCTCACCTCAAGAACATTGTTACATAACATGCCCTCGTCCTTGAAGCTTGGTTCCGCACCTTTTGTATTGAGCTGCCTGGGTACTTGAGGTCGCGAAGGCCGGATTAGACTTCCGATTTAACCTTTATAGGACATTTGTAGGACATACAAAGATAAGCCGTAAAAATCATCTGCTTATCCTTCACCTTTCCGAATTCTGAGTTATACTACATACTTGATTATCTATACCTTGAAGGCAAAGGCTAGTAAGTATTTGCCTACAATCAGGATATTAAAACGTGTTGATTTCTTTTCCCAATCTTCACAGATCAAACCTTTTATTCCAAACAACAACAACATCTTTTCTTCTCATTCACACATAGCAGCTTCCAAATCTGCTAAGGCTTCTTCTGCAGACTCACATGAGTCATCAGAGGCAGTGGTGCTATCCGACTGCAGTCAGGATGGCCCCTCTATGACTGCATGCAACTCATTTATATATGCAGTCAATTCAGTGCTCAAGGTTGCAATCATTTTCTCTCTAACCTGGGTATTGAGAGACAGGGTGCCAGATTGTAATGGCTTTGATTGCTCCAGTGACAGCAGGGAAGGGCAGAGCCATCAGAGATAAATCTTGTTATAACCCTTGGTGAAAATTTTGGGAAGATGAAAAGATTCTGCGACAAGGTTGAAACTGCTGAAAAGGGTGGCACATCCATGACAAGAGGGTTTTGATCCACCAAAATAGTGGTATGGATTGATGTTGGGGTGTTGGAGATGATATGTGAGTAGAGTGGATTCAGCATGGACAACTGCTTTCATGGATAATTTGGTCCCTTTTTCAGCTCTATTCCCTCATTTTTTGCTTTCTCCTGCAGCTGTTTCAGTAGCTCATCACACACCAGTAGCTCCTTCTGTTCTCCCAGAGGAGAAATGATGGGGAGAATGTCCTGCTGAGAAAATGTGATGGATATGTTGCTGTAAGCTGCTGGCACAGAAACCACATTGAATTGTTCCTTGAGGAAAGCAGAGAGTCAGTGAGACTGGGCAATGTGTGTAATGGTACGGATATGGTGATGAAGATTGAAAAGCTTCTTAAGCAACTGTCACAGAGACAATTTCTTGTTCCAGTCAGCATCTAAAAGTAAGACATGAGATATAGCTTCATATTCAGAATGTGAGGCCAGACTCACAAATTAAATTATCCCAGTGGGTCAGAATATTGTCAATTTCTGCAGTGTTCAAATGATCCCACCAAGCCACACTCATCCTGTCAATTGTCTGAATCAAGTCAGTGAGGCAATGTGGTGGTCTGTCATTCTGCAGCAGACCCTGAATGTGTTTCAACACCAAACATGTAAGGTGTAGGAACTTGGCATCCTTATTGTTAGCTTGCAAGCTTTTCGCAGTGGTCTCATATATGGCTAGGATCACAGGTGCCCTTTTGAAAAAGCATAGGCAAAGTTTGCTGTACAAATGTTCATAAATAGTCTTCTGAAGTTCAAGCTCACCATCCATGTGTGACAGGGTTTTATTTGGGTTAGACAATGTTTTGTTATCAGCTGGGATTGACAGTGGACTGGGCTCTACAGCTTTTTGGAGTTCCTTGAGCTGACCCCATATTTTATAGAGATGGGAGATAACAGTGGCTGGTACACTCTCATTGGAAGATACATACAGTGTCGCAGCTTTCGGGTCCATGGCCATGGCCAATGACACAAAGAAGACTTCTCCCTTTTCTTTTCGGATACAAACAGCGGCAAGAGCATCTAAGAGGTCCATCAATTGATGGGGGTCCTTGGGAAAAGGGTGTCCAGATAGACGAGACCCAGCATCGTTATGCCGCTGCTCGTGCCGACCAGAAAGTAATGAGAGATAAAGCTCCGGCGTAGTGTTTTGACTCAGAGACATCGTGGAAAGAGGTGAAGAGAGTTATCAAACTCGACCAAACAAACCCATCCGCGACCGTCATCGTCATCTCCCCTTGGCCTGCTCCACACTGCAGGGCCATGGTCGTCGGGACTGTTGTCTTTAACGTCGCATACTTAGATGCTGGAATGACTTCAACCTCTTCACAATGTCTTTCTCGCTAGAACTGGATCACGAAAACACCCACAAGTGAGGCTACTGCACCGTAGCCCTGAAAGTGTGCTCTACTTACACCGAATTACCAGATGATCTGACCTTTTTACAAAACTCAGGTTGGTTTCCTGGGATTGGAGAGAACTGGACCAGTCACCTCCACTTTGTCCAATCACACAGCAAGTGCTTCTCCTGCTGGAACCTCCCCTCCCATCAGCAAAACCTGATTTTCCCACGTAGACAGGCATAGTGCTTCCGCTAATATCATAGTTTCCCATAGTTACACGCCAAGTTTGGCTAGATGCCCTAGCGCCCCACAGCGCTCCACAGCACTGTGTGGGTGTAAGCTTGTGCTATACAGCACTACAGAGACTTGTGCCGTTACTATAGGGTGCTATAGAGGGGCCTCCACTTTCTACCCAGCCCTTATAGGGAGTCAAACTACAAGTATACTAGATTTCAGTAGAAAACACATTCCCTATTGTATATGAATAATTTATGACCAAAATACGCCTGGAATAAGAAGAAAGTACAACACTGTCCAGAGATTGATTGACCTACAAAGATTGCAACAAGAAAGAATATGAAGTATCTTTTGCAAAACATATTCGTCTTTTGTGATTTTTTTTGCATTGGAAAGTGGTGTTCAAGCCGATTCCAACGCATCTATTTACGTAGTATTTAGTTCAAAACTCAAATGGCTTTGGACCAATTACTGGTGAGGAATCTGCCTAAAAATGGTAAATGTTATCGGAGGTCGCCTTAAACGTCGAAATATTAGGGGCTCTCAGACCCGTTTTAAAGCTCTAATTTGTGCGTTTCTGACAAGCCCAAAATCGCATGAAACGGAGCAGAACTCATGATGATAATATATATTTCAGATGTCTAATACAGGCCAAATAGTTTATGCTACAATTTGTGAGGTACTCCAAATTTTTCTACGCCGTAAATTGGATTGCATTCGCGTGAATAAAGCGATTAAAATAAGCCTACATAGAGGCCAAACGGTGTGATACTCGTGAAGTTATAGCTATGAGCTACCTAGAAAGTGTAAGTGTGAATTGATGGAAGTCGGTACGGTTGCGGGAAGTCACGTGCCACGCTCAACTCACATTTTCGAACTTAGACAACTTCAATTGTTACTACTACTACCAAAAAAACAGGAAATTTCGGGAAATCATGGAAATAGCCAGGAAATTTCTGGTAACAACTGCAAATTTCATGGAAGGCTCGGAAATTGTTCAATAATTTTCCAATATGAACTTTATATTTGCTTGATTACATGGTGCCATCTACAATTGTGTATGCCCACCTCGAATGTCATGCTTTCTGTGAAAGACAGTGACAGGCGACAAACAACTTCAAGTCGCGAGACAATTCGTTTTAAGTCCGTTGAAACTCCGACATCATGTGATTATGTTGAACTTTTGAATTTCCCAACACGGAAATTCATTGTTCTTCCTTCCCACCTCAATGTTCAACTTGTCCTCGACAAACGGTGTCCTCCCTCGTCGAGTTACAGCATCCTCCCTCCCTCGTTGACGAACCGCGTCCCTCGACAAACGGTGTCCTCCCTCGTCCATGAACGGTGTCCTCCCTCCCTTGAAGAACAGCATCCTCCCTCTCTTGAAGAACGGCTTCCTCCCCCCCTTGAAGAATGGCTCCCTGCCTCCCTTGAAGAACAGCTCGCTCCCGTGAAGAATGGCTTCCTCCCTTAAAGAAAAGATCCCTCCCTCATCGACGAACGGCTCCCTCGTCGACAAACGACTCCTCCCTCAACGAATGGCTCCCTCTCTCGGCAAACGGCTCCCTCCCTTGACGAAAGGCTCCCTCTTGACAAACAGCCCCCCTCCCTCGACAAACGGCTCCCCTGATGAACAGTGTCCTCCCTTGACGAACTGCTCCCTCACTCGTCGACGAACAGCATCCTCCGTCCCTTCTTGACTGACGGCGTTTCTCCCTCGACGAATGGTGTCCTCCCTCCCTCGTTGACAAATGGCGTCCTCCCTCTCTCGTTGATAAATGGTGTTCCCCCTGCCTTGAAGAACGGCGTCTTCCCTCGCTTGTCGACAAACGCATCTTCCCTCTGTTGTCGACGAACGGTGTCCTCCCTACCTCATTGATGAACGGCTCCCTCCCTTGATGAACGGCTCCCTCCCTTGATGAACGGCTCCCTCCCTTGATGAACGGCTCCCTCCCTTGAAGAACGGCGTCCTCCCTCCCTTGTCGACGAATGGCGTCCTCCCTCCTTTGAGTCCTCCCTCCTTTGAAGAACGGCTCCGTCCCTTGACGAACAACCGTCCTCCCTTCCTTGTTGGCGAATGGCATCCTCCCTCTGTTGATGAAAGATGGACGGTCTCTTATTCCATAAATTTGATATACTGCAGTCATTACTATGTAGAATATTAGGATATCTTGTATAATGTAGTAGTGCAGACAATAAACTTATTTTTTCGTAACACAAGTTCTGTGTAAAAATCATGCAATATGGTATTAAAATGAGCAGAATGTATGCCCCCCCTCTAGGAATCTGCAGACCCCAGGGGTTGCTACTGAGGGCTGCAGATCTGCTCCGTAATTCTAGGGAGCACTATGAAGTGGCTATGTGTTTCTATGAATGGCTGCAGATCTGCTCTGAGATTCTAGGGAGTGCTGTGTAGTGGCTGTGCGTTTCTATGTAGAGCTGCATAGAACGCGCAGGTGACTGTAAAGGTGATACCCCTTTCTATGGTGCTATGGCACTACACAGCCCTGCCACGTGCTGCCTAGCTCACCCAGGTTTTGCTGATGCCCTCTGCGTCTTTTACGTGCTCCTAGTTTGGCTCTTGTCTACCATCATGCCATCCTTCTGCCTCACTTACCCTTTTCAAACCTCTATATGATCGAACACTCTGACCTGCGCAAGTTGAAGTGGCCTACATCTGGGCTTTCAGGGCATCGCTAAAACCCCAGGCTTTGATTGTCCGAAGATCTTGAAAAAAAAATGAAGCAGTGCACGATGCGGCATGGGATTTGCCAGATGGTTCAGTTTAAAGTTGGTGTATGAGGGACGTTCAAGACTACCTGTAAGCTGAGATCCATTCAGACGTTGCATGGTTGCTGAGCCAATGTTACGCAATGTATATATATAGAACCGCTATGCGCGTGTTCCGGGACTGCTTGAGTCCTTGGTTGAAGTTTTTCTTACCGTACCCAACTACGCCTCTATTTCAAGCGCATATGGTACCATCCTAAACCTGGGTGCAAACAACACAACTTTAACTCCGGACTTGGAAATGACCCCCAGCCAAAATTTCTATTCGAATTTGTGGTTGGGAAAGTGTTGTCCACCTCTCCTTGCCAACACAATGTTTCTCCCCCTACAACTAGTCCACGAAATCATCTGTCTCCTACTCTCTTCTGCCCCAATACGTTCCTTGACCTCGGAAGCTTACGGCTGTCCAACTAAACCCACAAGGGGCACAATCGTGCCCAGTCTCATTTCACAAAGCTACCGCGCCCTAGTGCTTGAAGCGTGGTTTCAGATTCTCTAACGCATCACCAGGGAGTCTAACCTTTTAACGGGACTCAGGCTGCTTCTCTCAAATGGATCAAACACTGCGTTCAATCATACAGCAACACCCTCCATTTTTGGAACCTCTTCCCAAACTGGACTGGCTCTAACCCACCCTCTTGCCGTCTTTCACCCTCCCGCACGCTGACTTGGACACACAACCTTTTTTACACCTCTCCCCCACGGTTGAACACTTTGACTTGCGAGGAAGGACGTGGCCTGAGCCTGGGGTGATTTAAAGGATTACTCATACCCCAGGCTTTGGGCGTTTGTAGACGTTGAAGATGGTGGTGTGGGCTTTGCCGTACTTACTGAGTGGTCCGGTTCAAAGACAGGCCAGCCGGGGTGGTGTGTGAGGAGGGTTGGAGTGGCTTGTGAGCCTTGTTCTACCCGGCGTTGAAAAATAACTGATGATGACGTACGTAGATCCACCACGCGCGTGTTCTCGCACCACTTGATTTCTTGGAGAAGTCGGATTGTCTTCGCTTTGGTGGAGTCCATTGGGTTGGCATGCAGACTCAGACCCAAACCCAATTGCGGTCGCGAACCTAGAGACGATCACCACCTCCAACACAAAAGTAAATTTAAAATTATGGTCATGAACGCCTGAGACAGAGACAAGTTCCATCCATCGACGCATCACGCGACCCTCCAGAACGATTTCAACTGAATCGCCACGGTCAAAACAATTGACGGACGACACGCCGGAGGTCCTACTAGGAGAGATATCGACGAATCGGTCCAACAAGGCGCATGCATTCCGCGTTCTTGCGCCAGATCGACACGTCTCTTCCTGGCAGCCACCCACTTCTCGCGGAACACATCGTCGTCGTATATCATCACCATACAGGTATCACATTCACCCGATCCCCGACATCCCATTCAAGCAACCTAGTCAAATTCCTACTCTCCTCCAAACGGCACAAGAATGCAGAATGTATGCGACTGAATCGCAGAATTGCCTTAGGACCCTCCCTCCATATGAGTTATATGTTGGGCCTCTTCAGGAGCGCAAGAATCCCTTGATCGTGGAACGGATGTGTTCCTCATTGCTCTCCGTCTGCACATCATATTTTCCACGATCCTCATCAGGGCCCTCTTCCTGTTGGATTGAGTGAACTATACCCGCCTGGCTATACTTGGATAATTTGGACTGTTTTTTCTCCTTTCTTTTTTCGTCTGCCCTTCGTCTCAGACATTGACGTGCATACACCTTCACTGCAATTGGCGCTGGCAAGACTTCTACTTCTACTTGCCACAATGTCGTTGCCTCTTCCCCTAGAACTAATTTGCGAAATCATCGATTTCTTACTCTCCTCTGCCCCACCGCGCTTCAACGCAAAACATCTCGGCTGGTCAACCAAACACAGTTGGCACGCACTCAACGCGTTCAGTCTCACCTCAAGAACGTACCGTGCCCTCGTCCTTGAAGCTTGGTTCCGCACTCTCTATGTTGAGTCGCCTAAGGATTTGGAATACGTAAGGTGCTGTTGGCCTGAGGTGGGAGCAAGGTGGACTAGGCACCTACACTGCGCCCAAGCCTACAGCAGCTCCCTCTCCCTTTGGGACCTTTCCTATCTCCCGCACATCTCCTCCATCCGGCTGGATTGGCTTCCGCCCTTCTTCATGCAACCTTTCCATTCTCGCCCCAGTTCGAAGTCAGGCTTGCCCCTATTCAACTGCTCCTCTTCGGTCGAACACCTTGACCTGCGCGGATTTTTGTGGCCTATTCTCGAGGTGCTCCAGAATATCTCTCATACCCCGGGCCTTGCGTATCTGAAGACTTTTACAATAGAGCGAGAGATGACGTGGTGTGGATTCTGCGGTAGCTTTTCTAGTGTCCAATTCAAGGATATGCCGACTGCGGTGTATGAGAGGGGCTATGGGTTGCCTGTGAGCTCTAGTTGGTTCAAATTCTGAGTATTTGTGATGATTGACTTTCTCAGATCGACTATGCGCGCGCTCTGGCCCCACTGGAATACCTCGAAAAAGTCGTGATCACCGTAATACACTACCCCCTTGGGTCGACCACAACCCCAACAATCCCAGATCCAGACCCAGAAACAAATCCGAATACAAATCAATGGATGGGGGAATGCGACAAGTGCGTGAAAACTAAGAATGAGAATGACGCCTTCCGCCAGAAGTCGGTGGATAGGAAGTGGGGTGTTGATGTTTGCCGCGATGATGATGATGGCAAGGATACGAGGCCACCCAAGTTGAGGAGCGTGGAGTGGCGGCTTTGTGACGCACTTTGAACACACCGATGGGACACTCCGGCCCAGCAGCTGATCTCGAAAGCCCAAAGACGAGGGGCAGCTCCATAGCCTGGCCTATCCCATCCTTTACTCATCAAGCAATACTCTCTGAATACCAAAGAAAAAGACCCACCAAGAACCAAAGACTATCACCCATATTCACATCACCGGTCAAGGCATCAGGGCATACGATGAAATTCGCTCGTTTCTCAAGACTTTTAGATCCACTACATTGATCAGGACGTTTTATCAAAGCCCTTTCACAATCGGCTCCTTACTTGCACATACCCACCAACATGCACAAGGCTCACGCGGAATGTATGCCTCGTATCAGAATGACACGTTGATGTCTCTCTGGGTTTTCGCTGCCGTCCGATTGGACCGTTTGTTCCTCCTACTCGTCCCCTGACCTCAAAGACAGTCTATTCACTTGACACGTCGAGGAATCAAGATGGGCGACGGTCAGCCAAAACAGCCCATGTCGGCTAGTCGCAGTTGAAATTCTGAGATCTGCGACCTCAGTCATGACTGGCTTAGAGGCTCCTCTGCCCTATTGCGCTCCTGGAAGAGGCATTTCAACTATTGCCAGTAGGAACATCTCCCATGTCTGAGCTCGGGAACGTACCACTGCGCCCTTGTCCTTGAAGCGAGGTTTCGGAATTTGTATACGCCTGAGAATGTGACTCTCTAGTGGTGCTCGCCTGACGTGGGGACTAAATGGACCAGAAGCTGCTCTCTCTCCCTATCTCGTCAGACTGGCACTTCCCCATACTCAGGTCATGTTTCCCCTTCCGCTCAAAGTGCTAGGAACGCCAACACCGCCCGAATTCCGCCCTACATTGACCTTTCACGCAGCTCGGCCTGAGTGCCCTTACGGTGGCCTGAACCTGTGGATCTTTAGGCTATCACTAACATTCCGGACTTTGGGCGTCGCGTTTGAAGACGTTGTAAATGAAATCACGTCTGGCGTGGTGTGAGATTTGCAGATTTGTGCTATGTGATCGTTTTGGGACAGGCCGACCGGGGCAGTTAGGGGCGTCGTGAGTCACATTGTTTTTCTCTGCTTACTAGACGAGGGTTGAAACTAAATTCCAGATCCATTACATATGCGCATATCTTGGCTCCATTTGAAGACCCTGGATAAGTCTCCATTGGAACACCAAACTGCTGGGGCGCTGCCAAACCCGAATGCAGGCCCAGGTTCGGTCCTAGAAACAACCTCAAAACCCCCCCAACCTGTCTGAAGATCAACTGGGATGACCACCTATCCCGTGAGATATATACATACCAATGTTCCTGCAGAACTACCTATCAAGCCATCACGGGTATCATCAATCCAGCCCGGACTCGGACGATTTGGCAGGAGAGCGATTTCTTCAAATGGCGTTTTGGTCTATCGCGCAACATGCATTGGCTACTAGCGTTTGCAGTTCAGTGTATACCCCTTCCCGCTCCGCTACGATTCCATCTCCGGTCACGTTTGGCCGCCTCGAGCTGATTAGAGCCTATTGATTGGCTTGCGTAGCATAGTTCGTCCATTTTACATGGGTGTTGCCTGTGTACTTGGAGGTGACTCGCAGGTCATCGTATTCCTTCCTTCCTACGCACGAGAAGCACCCTCATCAACCTGCCATTCCGATCTCCGGCGCACTCGCAAGACGGCGGACTTGCTCGATGAATACACTTCAATCCTTCCACGTTCAACAATGTGGGGTACCTCGTCCACTCACGGATCTTTGATACAAATGTTACGAATACTAGTAGGCGTTTATCCTCGGCACGTATTCCGACCGCGTGTACATAGGGGCGAATCAGTCGTGCACATATCTGACTTTTTGTATATCCATCAATATCCAATGCTTATCTTTTCCCATGTCATGAGGTAGACTTTTTGAACTAAGATCATGATGTCGCTGTCAGTGTCACCCCACACACAACTCTGCCGCCATACATCAACGATGCCGCAATCGACGCGGAGGGGATACCCACGCAGTGGGGGTGGGTATATTCAATATGCAGTGCAAAGGTATACAAAAAAAAAGTATTCAAACGAAATAACGATAGCGAAGAAGGAACGCTAGGGAATACAGTAGAAAAGGAAGATAAAAGTACATCTGGCGTAACAGAAGAATAATGTAAGGGGGAAAAAGGAGTGTGAAAGGGATGATTACTATGAGTCCCTCGGGTCGTAGTGAGACCGGCAATATCTGTTGTACATTGAAGGGCACTTTTCAAAGCGATGTTGGCAACTCCGATTGTTTGATCAACGCGAGTGCCTTTTCTGATCTTGGTCTAAAATCGCACGGGAACTTCGTTGGACTCCTGCGCAGAAAGACGCGTCAAGATAAAGGGCAGGATACGAAGTATATCTCGGAGCAACGGACCTGAATATGGGGTTTTCGAATTGGACATCGGGTTCTATGGTGTTGCCTTGTTCATCGACAGCCTTTGAGATATCCAGGGTGGCGATCATGCATGCGATGAGCAACCACAGCGACGAGTCAACAAGGTGACGACCAGGGCATAGTCTAATAAAGACGTAGCATGTGTTCAGCAAGAGATTGATCGACAGAAGACGATAACAAACCTCCGTCCAAAACCAAAGACATAATTTCGTGGATTCCTCTTCCTCTCCGTATCGGCGTCCACCTTGGTCAAGAACCGGTCCGGGTTGAAGGTGTAAGAATCAGGATAAATTTCTTCATCATGCATGATTGCCCTGCATCGTAAAAAAAAAGTGACATCGGAGGTTTTAGGGCTACAGCAGCGCAGGGAAGGCGGGTACGGACCAGATGTTTCCAAATATCTGAAAAAGGAAAGAAGTTCAGTTCGGGTTATCATCAGAGGACTTGGATAACCGTACAAGAGAACCCTTGGGGATAAGCATCCCGCGATAGACGTCGTCTTCCATCAGACGATGGGGTAGACCTAAAACCCATTGCTAAATGGGGCAGATCATACACGATGCAGTGATAGACGTACTGAGAGGAAGGGGGACACCCCAGCGCCATGTCTCTTGCAAGACGGCATCGACTATCAATGAAACGATTAGAATGAGAGGTTCAAACTATGATCAGTAGTAACCTTACTGTAAGGAAGAGAGTCCCTGTCTTCAAACGTTGGGAGACGGTCGGACCCAACGACGGCGTCAATTTCCCTCTGTGCCTTGGCAAGTACCTCCGGATGTTGAATAATGGCGAGGAAAAAGTGCGTAATGGTGGCAATGCTCTGTCATTCAGAGAGGAAGCATGAGCGCTGTCTAAATGTGCTTGATACGGAAAGAGCGCGACTGACCGTGTCCATGCTAGCACCGTACATCGAATTGGCCGTCCATTTGAGATCGTATTCGAACTCGGGTGAAGCTTTGACCCCGGCTTCATCCTCCAGTAACATGGAACAGAAAGAGTGTTTATATTGCCCTGTTTTCTGGATGACGAAGATACCATTGAGTTTGTAACAACTTGTAAGAAAGGTAGCATTACTTACCATGCCATTCTTCAAGAATTCATACGGTTTATCGACCCACTCTTCCATCTTGGCTTTCCATCGCGCAGCTTTGAGCTTGAAACCAGCACCAGGGAACCACGTAGGAAGATGTTGGAGCGAAGGGAAGATATCAACGGGCCAGATACCGCCTCCAGAAGCGATCTCGTTGGCGAGAATATCAACACATTCTTCAGCCAGGCCCAGATACGGGTCGTTGTTCGATGACACCTGATACCCATAAACAACAGACAGAGTGAGGGAACCCGCGTAACGACGAATGTGCCGCATATAGTCTGCAGGTTCGGAGATAAGTTTGCGAAGATACTCGTACGTCTCATTCTCAATGAGCGGGTAGTACGCAGGGATGCACGTCGGAGCGAATGCCTTGTGCATCAATTTGCGTTGACGCTTTGATTGATCGTTGTAGCCAGTGAAAGCGACCTAGAGGGCGCCAGAATGTGGCGTCAGATGTTGTGAATAGAAGGCAGGTTTGAATGACACTTGCCATGTTCTTGCACCCACAACTGCCGAATGTAACGGACAGGTCAGCCACATGTCACCAGCAAGAACGATAGACGTACAGTTCGCCTGTCATTAAGAATTGTGGTTTATCCGAATAGATTGAACCACGTTTGTCGAGCAAATCCATAGCGGACTCTGGACTGTTGAGGAAAATGAGGTGGACCGCTCCAAAAACATCGAGGTGAACGACATCGCCTGTGCAAATCTGGTTAAAACGCGCATATATTCACATTTAATGCGAGCTTTAGGACGCACCGAATTGTTTTGCCCATCGAGTGGCTGGCAGCCACAACTCCTTCGCAGTGAGGTTCGCGATATTGCCCAGTAGAGGGTAACGCTGGGGGCCAGGTGGCAATGATGCCGTTGAAGCTTTAGGCTTTCGGAAGTAGATGAAAAGAGCGACGAGAAGGCCACCAACACCAGCGTAAGTGGAAAGGTTCGTCATATTAGACAGGCCCAAAGAAGAACTGAACGGGTGAAGAAGAGCGGCGTGGTGGCTGGCGGCGTCGATAACGGACCCCCTATTGGGGCGGGCGACAGGGAGGAGGGAAAGGAAAGGCGGAGCAACGAGGGCAGCAAAAGCTAAGTAGTACTTATGGCTTTTTGGAAAGCGTCAGGGCATTTGCTCAGATGAAAGTCACGACTCGGAAGCCTAATTTTGACCATGTCCAGAAGAAGGGCAGTCAGAAGAAGGCGTCAGAAGGGCACGCCCAGGTTGATCGTCCATAGGTCAGGGTCGCCTTCTTCAATCAGTTTTTTTACGAGAAGGCATTTCATGTCCTCCACAACACGCCTCGTGGCGGTTATCAAACAAGGGGAGGTCCTTTACGGGGGCCGAGTTGTCGGAACGGAAGAAAAATGTTCCCACATCATGGCTTGCTCTCATCACCAAGAAAGTATCGATGTCTATCACGTTCACCTTCACGAATAACGCTTTACCAACGGTCTCCAACAACCTGAAGGACGACGCCATCTGGAACGCATTTCGAAGCGTGAAGATCATCTCGCAGTTCCGGACAGATCGACTCCGTGCGACGTACTTCATCGCAAGTCTTCAAGTTCATCTTTCGGCGAACTATGTGACTGAGAACTGAGGAACTACTTCAAGTTTCGGTTCGACAGGGTATCTACAGCCCAGTTGGATCAGCGGTTCGGACGACATCCCCATCCCAGGCATGGGCATCCATCCATCGATCCACCGTACAACTAGACTAGAAGCATTGATCTCTCAAAAAGCATTCTTTCTCGTAAGTTGCATCTGTGGTCAAGGTATCGGAGTCCGGTGAACCGCTCTTCGCAATGAGCCTCGCTGGCACCCTTCCAGGGTACTCGATCATCTTCTTTACGATGACGAGATGATCGATTCTCGCGACCCACGGCAAGAACACCGGAGCCCTCTGACAGGAGCGACTCTTGTCTTTCTTGCGTTATTCTTACTTTTTCCATGTCTGTGAATCCTGAACGACCAATCTTATCTTATGTTCGTCTCCATGAGCTTGTCTGCCAACTCTCGGCAACCGAGCTTGTCCTTCCCGACTGTTCGTCATACTGTGAAATTCCCCGGTACCTGGGATCCGTTGCCATGTTTCGTCACATTCCAACGGCTCACTCTCACCCTCACATTACGGCAATCTGGTTTTACTTTTCTGTAATGTCGTCAGTGGCCTGATGACATCTATTCATTTCCGAGAAAACTAGCTTCTGCCCGCCATGACTTTCTTTTGATTTTCTTGGGATCTGTCACTACGCTACACTACCTGTGCGAATACTTGAAAACGATACCCACTGAATTCAGTTGACGATCATGATCAACCCTTTTCTATCGGTGCACTCATGCTCTCCCACTTTTTGGGACTGAAGACTTCCCTGCCCTCTTAATCTACATGACATTCATTGCATGCCGTATTCATGTCGGAGTACCGAAGCAGATCTTGTTACCACGTTATCAAACCGTTCCCTTCGACTCCTCCATCTAAACTTCTCTAACGGCCCTTGAACCTCCCTGCTTTCAACCCTACCTTCTACTAAATGAACATCGTACCACAAGATACATGCACCTCATGACTCCCTCAATTATCTCCGGGGTTCTTCCCCGATACATTGACCATCTTGAAAGTTGAAACAAGCTGCGTCGGGTGAACTTTTAAGAACGCCTTTGAGCTTTTCAGCACGTTGCGCGTACTAAGTCCCGTATTATCCCGTCAAACCAGGGGCGGGGCATCGGAAGTGAGATTTTGAAAAAGGATCGATTATGCGCAGTAAAATTAAGAAAGCCTTGGAGAACAAAACACCTGGGCGCTTATGTAACCTTTACGCGCCTACAGCTACAACATCATAATCCAAAAAATGTTGGATGAGCCTTGTCCTCAACCGTTTCCCGTACGTTAAATTACTACCCTTGACGCACCGTCACTCACTCCCAGACGTCGCCAGGTGACGCCTCTCAAACCTGAGGCCTGATGTCTCATGAGAACCTTCAAGCCCGCATAGGGTTTGGAGGCTCATGCCAGTGGAAGAGAGACGACTACGTCCTCTTAATCGACGATCAATTGTCTACCGGGGCTCATTTGATCGCTTACCTTGCTGTTGAAGCTCAACAAGCTCGCATTATCAGCCAGCCTACTGTACATTCGCCAGAATTGGAAATTTCGTCAGACCTTTCGCTCTCTTGAGTGCCAAAGCCCTCCGGAATTGAGCGCATTTAGAAATTTGGCTCTGCGAGTTCGACTCTCGCGGTGGGCACTATATGAGTGCGTGCGGCCCCAATGACTGTAGAAGCTCGCTAAAATACCTGTTACCCCCTCATTCAAAGCACATTTGTTTCGGGTAAAGATATACGCCAGCAATCTTTTACCTTTTCTTATTCAGAGATGCAGCGAGCGCGGTAGGATACAGTGATGAGAACCAAATTTACATTACACACCGTCGAGTTCAACTTTATCAGACTACATGTTATTGTCGTATTTACCTTACCAGCCAAGCAATCCTTGATATTCGGCCCTCTGCAGGAGCTTGCCGCCTCTCTTCTTGGGCCCCTTAGTAGGGGCTTCGGAGCTAGAGTCTGTGGGTTTTATACCCAAGGCACGCAGCAATGCTGGGGGTGCATCATCCCTGCCCACGACGATTTCCACCAGTTGAAGGAATCCCTTGTCCCTAATCTTTTCGGTATCGAGAAGGTTCCCAAGCTCCTTTTGAGTGGTCACACGGTACGTTTTACTAGGTGCAGACTGGCTATTGCTGAAGACCTTTAACAAGTCCCCGTAATCCCAGGTCACAATGTTGTGGTATTCTCTGTTCCCACAAATACTTAAGCGTGAGCAAGGGATGCGATTCAAAAGAACATTCAGACTGACCCTTCTACATTGTGTTGGAGTCGCTCTATCGTGTAACCCCCGTTATTGATGACGAAAATGATGGGCTTGATCTTTGAACGTATGATGCTGGATAGCTCCTGGACTGTCATTTGGCTGGGGACGACCATGTTGAACATTTGTTGTGAACTTCAGAAAGGAAAGGAGCGTACAGGCTACCATCGCCGATAAAGAGAATAGTCTGGGCAGCGTTGTCACCTTCGATTTCTTGACGTGCCAAAGTCGAACCATGTGTAGCGCCTAGAGTATGTATATTCAAGAAAGGCAGTTTAGCCTGATAAAGATATAATCACGATAAACTAACCCGGAGACCATCCAATACTGGCCCACAGTTTCTGAGCGAGCAGGGATGAATCCTTTGGCAGAGCCAAATCAAGGACTCCATAGCTGACGCTGCCTACAGCAGGGGGGCGAAGTCAACAAAACAGCGAACGAGACGGACTCTATGTACAACATACCGGCCTCCGTTACAATCAGGTCCTTCTCTTTGAACCATGCTCCAATACGCCACCAGAGCCAAGCGTGTGTAATCAAGGCATCCGTATCCGTGACTACCTTGTTCTTGAATTCGGGAACCTGGAGTTGGCTAGCTTTCTCGCGAAAATCTTTAAGGCGCTCCGCAAGTTTGGGGAGAAGCACCTTCATCCCAGTCCGAGCGTAGGTCGCGAATCCAACTTCCGTGTGATCAAAGTGGAGCTATTCATGTTTCATTATCATCGTCAGCGCGATTTCTTTTTTTTCGCTAAGGAAACAAGCACAAACCTTAATAGACCGTTCTTCCTTTATGTTCTCGGAAAAATTTCCCGTGTTAAAGTCGGTGGTGAGAGGGCCTAAGAAGAGAACAAGCTTCGCCGACTCGACCTTCTGTTTAACCTCATCAGAACTCAACTTCCCGATGTAAACCTAGGAAGCGAATTATGAGCGATTTCAAGGTAACGTAATAATTTCTGAGCACTCACCCCTCCGTAGCGTTCAGATGTTTCGTCGACAACAGTCTTACCCAAAGGAGTTCCGTAAACAGGAAGGTTGGTTACTGACAAAAAATCTGCAGCCTCTTTTTTGCAATGATGGCGACTGGTGCTGACGTCTGCAAGGACCACAACATTGTCCTTCAGCTCTCCCGAAAAAGCATCCTCGAAACGTCGATAGATATGGTCAATTGCGGCCTTTTCTGCATCAGCATCAATCTGGACCTCTTTCGGGGATAACTTGATTTCCTTCAAACGCTTTGTAGTGATTATTTCGTCAACGAGGTCATATGGAAGTGCCAAGTACGCTGGGCGGGACTATAGCGATGTCAGTATTTTTCGCGCTCTAGTGGAGAGCTAATCCGATATACCTTGCTAATGCAATCGACAATAACTCGGTCGATCTCTTCATCTGCCACGCCAAGAGCGATATCTCTCTTGTTCAGAGCATACTGAGAACATGTGTACGGGAGAGCAGACTTTGCGAATTCATCGAATCTAGTTGGTTACGCTAACCTTAGTATGCCAGTGAGGATGGTGTGGTGTCGCATTACCTGCCGTCTCCGAGGGTATGAATGACGTTGCGTCCCTCAGCCTGAATCAAGGTCTTCTGTTGTCCGACGATATGGAGAACGGGAAGCTCCTCTGCGAAAGCTGTGTAATAATGGCTCAGAAAAAGTGGGAATGAATCTGGACTGCACTCAAGCACTCACACCCTGCGATGCCGTTGATTGCAGAGAGCTCGCCCACCCCAACACTAAAAACGACATTGTAAGCGGAACCGGGATGCAAAAGAACGATGAACATACGTGGTGGCCAGAACACCAAGACCGCGTCTGTAGCGAGCATAGCCGTCGGCCGCGTACGCCGCATTAAGTTCGTTGCTGTTGCACATTGACGCATCATCTTTTAAGGAGGTCGAGCGCCTGGATTGATTCTTACCACTCTCCAACCCAGGTGATATTGGAGTCTTCGACAATATCCTAGACGGCGTCAGATAACTCTATTTAATTTATAACTTAGGACGAAACGAGAATCGACATACCAGGAAGTTGGCAAGATACGATCCTGGGCAACCGAACATAGACTGCGGCACCAAGGTCAAAGTCCCGGTATACTGATCAAGAATATTCTGGATCTCACCTTGATGCCTTGTTCTTCGAGCCTGCGGACAATGTAACTACCTATACTGATCTCCTCGGCCATGAAGAAAAATATAAAATTCTGAACGTAGTAGACTGGAGGGGCGAACGAAGTGTAAACTTGATCTCTCGTCTTGAGTTACCGCTGTATTATATGTACTCAAACCGATGGCACCGATGGCCAGAAGGTCATGCGCTGGATACAAATATCAGGGTCACAGTGAGAAAGGTAGCGAGGACCCCATTACTTACTCAGATAACCATCCATTTTCCTCCCAAGATTAGAAGGCCTGAACCCAGGTCACCAATAATGCATCGATGTCCGACTTTGTGAACAAACGAGGCCACATCTTCTTGGACATGGGACCTGAGCGCCAAACATTCCCCGTCACACAGACAACCCCAAACCCCACGATGAAAGGACTGATAATCGATAGAACTCAACTTCTGAATAACTTCTCCGTCACATAGACAGCCGCAATGAAAGGATTGATGATGGCTAGTGAGTAAGCGGCCCGCCTGGCACCACATGTCCCTAGACGTAAGGCCTGAGCGCTGAGCGCCAGATGTATGGCTTCTCCGTCATAGAGACAACCCCAAATCTCGCAAGGAAAGGACTGATAAGCGATAAGTAGAATCCAACTTCGTGAATAAATGTTCCTGAGCGGATGTGAAGTGACTTCGCCGTCACACATACAACCCCAAATATATTGCGATGAAGGGACTGATCATCGATAGCATCCAACTTTGTGAAAAACGGACACCACATGTTCTTGGAAATGAACCAATGGCCCGTCCATTTGGAATACTTGGATCTGTGCCTCAACTGAGGGACTGGGACTGGTAATAATCACAACCCGAATGATGCAAACACCGGATTTAAATTTCATCTTTCACCGGATTTTATCTTTGACAACATCGATTGGTCGACAATCAAGACTCTGCGTGTTGTCGATACAAATTTCCATCATCTGACGATCCAAAATCTGCAACGTGCATGATCATGTCTTCTTCAGGTCCTCGGAACAGATTCACCAGGTCCTCTACTAGTTCAGAATTAATGCCTTTGACGTTGTGACTTATATACATGGGATTTCAAGACGGGCGTATCCCCATCTCCGTATCGTTACATTGCTGCATTTGCCATGTCTGATGCCACTGATCCTTCACTCGTCAACATCAAAGTCGCTCAATACTTCATTCACAAAAAGTTGGATGAGCTCAAGAGCAAAAAAAAGAAGTTCAGCTACAAAGCCGATGCAGGCGGCCATGGGTTCACTTCTTCAGCCCCTTCCTCTTGGGATAATCTAACCGTCGGCCCCGGGCTGGGTCAGCCCCCCCCATCTGGTGCTCGCGTCGCCATCATCGGTGCCGGCGTTGCGGGCTTGCGCACTGCCATGCTTCTCGAGCGGCTCAATATTCCCTACAAGATCTTCGAGGCAAACGATGGTCCTGGTGGCCGGCTCTACACATACCGCTTTCCCTCGGATCCTGTTACCAGTCCGCCTGGGCAACACGACTACTACGAGGTCGGCGGCATGCGCTTCCCCGACAATGCCGCCAACCAGCCAACGTTCGACCTCTTCAAGGAACTTGGATTCAGTTTCCGGACTGAAGAGAACCCTGATGGAGAGCTGATCCCTTTCGTATACGGCAAGGATGACAATATCCGTCACTTTAACAGTGAGTGTTGAGCAGGCATGACGGGTGCGATCGTTTTTGGCTCACAGATGTTGCACAGACCTCAGGAAGACGGCGAAGGAAGCTACGAGTGGCATTAACCTCTTCGATGAAGGGGAGCCGGATGGAAATGTGCGTAGTCTCTTTTTTCGGTTCCCTTTCTCCTAGCTCATGGGAACGTAGGTGCCGAGAGGCTTCACAGATATGCAGGACACCGACTCTCAGGGAAATGTATATCGTGGAGTAGATGCATGTTTTTTCAAAGCTTTCAACGACCTTCGCACGAAGCTTCTTGAAAATTTCGACGAGGCATGGCCAGCGCTTCTCCAAGAATGGGGTTGGGCTTCGACGCGTTCCTACCTATCGCAGGCGAAAGAGTTGAGGTTCCCTGATACCGTTATAGACTGGATCGAGAAGCACAAGTCTGGAACAGGCCGCTATGCGCGGTCTGTAGTCGAAGTGAGTACGTTCTGAGAATACTGGATGAGCCACACTCTAACAAGCCTTTTAGGAAGTGCTTGAATCCATCACGTTCGACCACCCTAGGTCCGAAAAGCTTGACTGGTGGTGCATCGAAGGGGGCAGCGAAGTCTTGATCAACAAGATGCTCTTGAAGGTGACGAACCCGCCGTCTTACAACCACCGCGTAACGGCCGTCTCGGAGGAGTTTTCCTGGCAGAATCCACTTAGGCGCATGAAGGTCAGCGTTCAGGACAAGGAAGATGAATACTTCTCCCATGTCGTTTCGACTGTCACATTTTCCGTCCTCCGCACCATCAACACAGCCGGTGTGAACATGAACTTCAATCAGCGAGAGGCGATGCGAGCTCTCAACTATGGCCAGTCGATCAAAGTTGGGATCAAGTTCAAGACGCGTTGGTGGGAGCAGGATATAGCCAAGGCCCCACAGGTGGGAGGCGCTAGTCGCACGGACAGGCAGGTCCGCGTTGTTGTATATCCTAGCTATGGGTTGAACGAGACGGGCCCGGGTGTGTTGATGGTCTCGTACAATTGGTGGGTACCTCCTCTGCCCCCTGCACGTCGCATAGCGCTGAATCTACTATTTTCCTACTTAACAGGGATCAAGATGCTGCGCGTTTCGGTTCTCTCATGAGGAACACCGAGTCCCGCTCCGAACAGCCCAAACCGGACCGCTCTCGCACGCCATGGGAGAGGATACTTCTCGATCAGATATACCAAGACCTTGCAGTATTGCACACCCCGGACAACTCCAACCCGGAGGACGTGAAGGCATTTAAGCAGATGTTGATCCAGGATACGCTCGACTTCCACGCATTCGACTGGTATAACAACCCTTTCACCATGGGCGCCTTTGCGCAGTTTACGCCTGGGCAATTCAGTACCCTGTATGCAGATATTCTACAGCCCGCTGGCTTTTACGGAAATTTCCATTTCGCGGGCGAGCTCGCCAGCCACCACCATGCGTGGGTTGCCGGGGCGCTGGATTCTGCTGCGCGCGTGGCTTGTCATATCGAAATGGACCAGCGTTCGAGGACCCATCCAACACTGGGCGGGGAGCCCATCAAACTCAAACGCGGGGTTTCTCCCTTGCCAAAGAGCTTGGTTTTCGACTCTCAGGAAGTTGCGGACAGCTGGCACGTCTTTGGTTTGGTGGAAGAGGCGTAAGGCTGAGCTCACTCTGTCGCATGAGCCTTGAGGGACAACAAAGCATTTTGAATTTCGGGAATATATTACAATGTACAGTAGGACTATGTGAATAGTGTTATGATGAGCAGCGTGCGTAGTTTATACGCCGCGAATGCAAAGTCATCACTACCTACAAGACAGAAGACGAGCGATCGGACGCTGAGCTTAACCTAGGTTCACACTCAGTTTGTACGTAGATTAGTCGTACATTGAAGGATTCAGGAATACTAGCGAGGCTTAGTTATAAGAAATGAGGTAGATTCTCCACGATCTACCTTCCCGCCAACCAAGCGCCGTTCCACCTGTTCAGCCAGATATTAGCCATGGGCTGATAGTTTTGGCAATATATCCTCCACGAACTGAGTCAAATCCTTAGGGAGGTAACGAAAGGACGAGTTCGTGCCTCCCCTTTTCGACATCCCGGCCAAAAAGAACGTTTGCCAATAGCACGACCTTCAACCCGCGCCCCTTTCGAACGCTATTTGAGATCTCAGCGGCTCTGTGGGAATTAAAAAGTCAGGAACCATTATCAAGGTAGGTTTCGAGTGCGGCCTTCTCCACTTACCTTGACAAGGTTAATGAAGTCCGGATACCAGTCTGCGCTATTTCCTGGCTGAGGGATGATCTACGAGACTGCATAGAAGGCATCTTGAGGATTTGCATGGTACCGTGTTTTCCGAATCACCAAGACCAACTTGAAGATACGCGTCCGAATCCCGACCCACACGCGCCTTTCCTTCCCTTTTAAGTTCTTGAAGCAGTGATACGTCGCGATACTTTGCTTCTACGAAACCATTCAATCCCATATATTTCGCAACAGGGGGATGATTTAAATTCTTACCTATAAGAATCGTATTTAAGATGACTTCAAGGTAACCATGTACACTTTCTTCACTACGGGATAGGATGATTGACGAGATCTTTGGAATAAAATGTCAAACGCTACGTGGCCACGTGTTGGCTATGGAGCCATAACTCGTTTCCAGATGCAGCCTGGAGTATTTTGCGGGCGAATGTTGCCCAAGTTTGCTGGAAAGTCGTATATGTGGCGGCTTGGTCACCGGTCACTGGGCTTGTTGGGAAATCGCCGCATCGGGGGTCTAAATTGGTGAATTTGAATTTTGACTTCACACTCCGCGACAGAACCACGAGCACTCCATGATATATCGATGTTGCGCTTTGTCCTCCGCCGCCGTCTTGTTCACTGCTCATTCCGTCGTACAATGTCGAGTTTCTTCACAACGTGCCTTGTCCCACAATTGTTGCAACTCATGGAAACGCCTTGTAACTGGGTAAAACGCGCACTAGAACCCGAAGCGCGAGGCGTGCTCTTTGTCCTTGCCTCCGCTTTGTCCAATCGATGTCCACGGGGCTTTTCGAGGCCCAATTTGATTACGCCTTGACCTCACCATTGTTTCTTTTTGCTATAAAACGGTCTCTCTTTATTTCCAAGAACACAAAGAGTCATTCTGAAGAAGTTCTCTCGACCAGCCCCCTTTGATCTACGCTTTCTATCATGCCAATTCACTGGTCCCCCACCGACGAGCTGCTACAGAGGGGCCAACTGTCGGAAGATTTATTTTCGTTGCCCACCGTGCCAAACGAGCCACTCCACCGCGTCCCCACAAAGCAAGACGCGTCCGCACCGAATGATCCACTTCGCCGCGTTCCCACAGAGCCAGTCATCCACGTACCGAATGGACCATTTCGCCACGCCCCCACAAACCCAGTTGTCCACGCATCGCGTGAACCACTCCACCGCGTCCCCACAGAGCCAGTTATCTACATGTCCTCTGCGGGCACATCCCAGTCCCAAGCGAACGTTCTCCAGCACGCAGACTCCGTACAATCCGTCGCCAACTACCTCCTATCTCTTGAGAATTCATTCAGTTCTGTGACGGCCGCCTCTGACAAGCCCAAAGTCAATCGCACCCTATCTTTCATAGCGGAGACTGATGAAGGCTTTTTGACCTACTCTGATGGTTCGAGTAGCTCTGATGATTCATACCCCAACTCTCAAGGAACTTTCAGCGACTGCGACGATGAATTAATGGACGATCTTGAATACTTCGCCGAGGAATTAGACGCCACCAAGGCAGACGACGCTCTAGATATCCCTCTGATGATATATCTGAGGGGCTGTGGTTTGCCATATTTTATGAGCGAAAACCAGGAAAGCCTCGAAGAGCTTAAGCACTTGCGTTATGCTATACCTTGGCCTGCGTGCTCTAGCCTTCGACGTCAGCCTGGGACCCGACACTTACAGCAGGTCAAACCCAACTGGCGATGGCCCGAAATTTCGAATGTGGTTCGAAACTGTGAGCTTTTTATTTACAAATTTAATTGTCGCTTATTCGATCTAACCTGCATGCACAGATCTTCGCCAATTTAACGACGTCAAGATCCAGAACGAAAATAACGTACTGATAGAAAATGCGTCGCATCTCGCTCTGCCCCACCTGGATTTCGTAACATACGGGAACGAGGACTATAAACTGCTTATTAATGTGGCGGACAACAACCAGCTCCTTCATGTTATGAAGCACTACATCTTGAGCACTGTCAGCGAGGCGATCCGGCTTCTGCAAAATTTACCTCGAGGCGTCCCGCTTGTTGAAACGCTGAAGTTCATAGATGTGAGTCGGGTTTGGGGGCCCCCCGGTGCGAAATGGAATGTTTTCACTCTGGTGAGTCGTTCTTTTTTCCCTGACGGTTCCCTTCTGAAATTTAAACGAATTAGCCATCTGACGTCCTCGATGTGTATCCTATCACCATAATTTTCCTGGCTCCGTGGGATTTCGGCATTGAGGATTTTAATGACCTTACCGCGGAACAGACTGTAAGCCCGTTCATTTTAGGTTCGAATCGTTAAACCGACACCGTTCGTTCGCTAGTTCCCGTATGGGTCCCTCGACACTTTGGATAGGAAAGATAAATTAACCTCTCATACGCTCTGGGCACTCGTACGTAGCCTTATTTTTCTGTAAAAAATTAAACCTGACACGCTCCCCTCTAGATCCATGACATTCTTCAAGGCAAGGGGCATAGTTTCGTCGTGACCAATTACCTTCGATGGTCGTTTGGAACACTCACGCCAGGTATGAGTTCAATGCCTCGTCGAATGCTTCTTTCTGACGCGCGTAAATGAACAGATTGTTCCAGCGCCAAGATGTCAGCGATTTTCGAGGCAGAAATCATAAATTTTGAAGGGCAAAGCTTCAATGTTCCTTATGTGGGCGTCAATTGCCTTGAGATATTGATATACTGGATCCAGGCTGCTCGGGGTATGCTTTCCGAACAGTTTTTCCTCCCTCTGGATTAATGCTGCCCGCCGCTTTTCAATTGAATTTATGTGTATGTATTAGTAGAACCTTCTGACGATCCATTTATGTATTGTACCCTTGTACCCCCTTGTCAAACGTATGCCCTTGTGTACTACTCTGTGTGCCAACTGCGCTTATGCCGTTGATCATACACTTCGTGATCTTGGCGCTTCGACTGTTGTTTGTGCCTGTCAGGTCGAGCCTTCCGAGAAATTGCCGTCATATAGTCTTCGGGTGCACATCGCACCTGGACCCTCAGTTCTCCAAGTGGTCGCGTGCTTGACGTCCTGTGAGGGAGTTAAAATAGAATCGAATGCATTGCCCTACAACCTTCAAATACTTATACACCCCTTCCTTGTGATATCATGACTGTCTTGTTGATCCTAAGAACCCCGTAGCAATCGAATCGGAATTTTTGTTCTTTGGAACGTGAATAAAGCATTTTATTGATGCGCAAGGCAGTGCGTCGCGTTTGGCTAGCATCCTGTGGACATCCATCATGAACGAGAGGATGAGTATCCATTGCTGAAAAGCAGCCAAGGCCCAAGGCGTTGATAGATATGTAGGCACCAAGTAAGATGAGCCCTTGGCGAATCCTTCGGCTAGTCATAGGAAGTCATAGGTCGTGTTCAAACCAGCGGGAACCTTCGGAGTACATAGCAATATTTTTAGCACAACATATATTATTTTGGGAGGTCTGATTCTGGTGCCGCATGTTAGATTTTTCCGTGTAAAATTAGCACAAAAGTCACGGGTGGTGTGAGACGGAGTGAATCGGTAGTCTCAAGATTGGCGCCGCCAAGCTGGTGGAGGGTTCATAAGTAGCAAGTCGATTCACGGCTGGACGTCTTCTCGATGAGTCTCGGCGAGAAGGAACAGTGGCGACTCAGCATTGGTAAACTGTGACCGCGTGACGTCGGTGTAACCAAAGTGACCGTTTACCAAGGCACCCAATTCAAGTCTTTTGGCTGTTCTCTCCAACATCATCCCATCATCAAGCCATTCATTTTTTCCTCTTCTTCTCCTCCTCCCTCCTTTTTTGTTTTCGTCGGCGCCTGGCCACCTTCGAATGTTCTTCTCCCCGCTCTCTTTGTTGGCGTTATGCCTCGCGTCGGCGAGCCCCCCAGTGTACGCGAGCCTCAGCGGCTCCATTGTAGATGGCGGTAATAGTTTAGTTAGTGCCATGATGGTACGCTTCCTCGCCTTTGCCGAACCTATTCTGCTCTAATCGCGCCATACAGTTGTTCGTCGGAAACGAACAAAAGGTTTATATATTAGACAAGGCAGAAGGGAATGCTGCTCAAATTAATGGTCATCCAGCATGGGGCGCTGTATGGTGCGTGGTCTTCTCATTCTCTTAGATCTATATTAAAATCGTCATGCAGGGACATGTCATCACACCAATCAACTGCTATGGATGTAAAGACAAATGTCTTCTGTTCGTCGGGCATGCATCTTCCCAATGGATCCTTCGTTACGTTCGGTGGAAATGGTGCTGTTGGTAGAGGGGGTAACATAGGGTCCCAGCTTAACCCAGGAGGTTACTCGGCTTCTTGGGACTCGGAATACCAGGATTTCGACGGGACAAAATCAATACGCGTGCTCAACCCATGCAGAAACTCCGACGACTTCTCGTCTACAAACTGTCAATGGTTCGACGATGCCACATTCCTTGCGATGCAGCGCCAACGATGGTACTCGGCCGCGGAGGCACTGGGCGACGGTAGCATCATTATCATTGGTGGTTTTACGAGTGGAGGCTACATCAACCGCAATTATCCTAATGTTGACCCTGCAACGGAAGGGGGTGCGGCTGATCCCACCTATGAGTTCTATCCAGCTCGGTCTGGTGCTCTCCAAACTTTTCAGTTCTTGGTTGAAACGTCTGGGTTGAATGCATACGTTCATACTTTCCTGATGCCGTCGGGTAAGCTGTTCGTTCAGGCAAATATTTCAACTGGTATGTCGTCCAGTACCATCCACATTCTTTGGGCTCGCTTGAGCGTTTATTTTTAGTTCTATGGGATTACACAACCAACACGGAAACCACATTCCCCAACGTGCCTCACAACGTTGTTCGCGTTTACCCAGCCTCAGGCGCCGTCGCCATGTTGCCTCTTACCCCAGCGAACAATTATCTTCCTACGATGCTTTTATGTGGCGGATCGGATATGCCAGACTATTCGTGGGGAAACTACAGTTTCCCTTTCATTGATACATGGAATTACCCGGCATCGAAAGACTGCCAACGGATTACCCCGGAACCCACGGACGGATCGACGCCTCAGTACGTCCAGGACGATGATATGTTGGATGGCCGTACTATGGGCCAATTTATAATTCTCCCTGATGGAAAGCTACTCGTGGTCAACGGAGGTTTGAACGGGACGGCTGGTTACTCTCAAGCAACCCTTACAACGCCTACCTTTGCTCAAATGCCGTTTGGGGAATCACTAGCCTCAGGACCTGTGCTCACTCCAGCTATTTATGACCCTAACGCAGCACCAGGTAGTCGCTGGTCGAAAGCTGGTTTGTCAGCATCGACCATTCCCCGCCTCTATCACTCATCCGCGATGCTGCTCCCTGATGCATCAGTTATGATTGCTGGCTCTAACCCCAACGTGGATGTCAACTTGACAACTGTTTTCCCGACGACTTACAAAATCGAGATCTTCTACCCACCCTACTTTTCAGCATCCACGCGACCAGTACCTACTGGAATCCCCAAGACCATTTCTTACGGTGGTAACTCCTTCGACATCACTGTTCCGGCCAGCTCGTACTCTGGATCTGCCAACGACGCCGCTGATGCCACCACTGTCGTTCTCCACCGTGGCGGTTTCACAACGCACGCCATGAACATGGGCCAACGCTATCTGCAGCTCAACAACACCTACACCGTGAACAAGGACGGATCCCTTACCCTTCACGTTGCACAAGCCCCTCCCAACCCTAACCTCTTCCAGCCTGGACCCGCGTTCGTCTTTGTCACCATCCACGGCATCCCAAGCAATGGCACCTACGTCATCGTCGGGAGTGGACAGATTGGTACGCAGCCTACGGCAGCTGCAAGTGTTCTCCCCGCCAACGTCGGCCTCTCTTCCGCCAGCGGCTCCGCAAATCCGGCATCAACGACTGGTGGAGCTGACGTCACGGCCAAGTCTCACAACACTGCGATCATTGCCGCTGTTGTTGGTGGTATTGCAGCCATCGCCGTTTTGGGTGCTATCATCGGAATTTATCTCGCCCGCCGTCGTCGTGCAGGAGGAGCCAGAGGGTCACCAAGTACATCGTACCCTATGAAAGGCAGTGGTGGTGGTATGGGTATTAGCGCTCCGACACCGATGAGTGCTCGTGCGATGAGGAGCTCGGATTCTAGTGCTTTCATTCCACTGCAGCAAGATAATTATAGTCATGCGTGGAACGCGAGTAATGCGAGCCTTGTGGCGCCGTATAGGGACGATAATATCCCGAGTGGACGAGCGAGTGGGACGGGGATGAGTATGGATTATGATCCGTATGCGAGTACCCCGATGCCTAGTCATGGGACGCCGCAGCAACGAATGTAGGGTTGGATTGGAGTTTGCTTTTCTATCCCATATCCTCCTCGGTGGATTGGGATTCATTTCCGACACATGGACACTTCCCTTTTTTACCTACCCTCAACCATCTAGCTTAAGTCGGGCTCTTGTATTTTGAATCAACTTCCCTCAGCCCTTCCTCCCTCCACTTATTGGATATTTTTACATCCGCCCCCCTCCTCCTCGTCCAGTTCACCCTCCCTTGTTTTCACAGTCGACACCACCTTCACTCGCTGAATACATTCTCTCACCCCTCACTCACGCCCCACCACCCATCTTCCTCGTCATTTGAAGAAGATTCACATTTTTTTAAGTACTGGACAAGAAACAAATCGGACCTACCTCGGACGTGTAGATAATTTACTCAAGTACTTATTTCGCTTTATTTTTTGCGTAGGCCTACGGTTTAGCATACCAGGTTTTATTTCTTGGATTTATAGGTCTATAGAACCGAATTGGACCGCACGCGAGCAAACGTTCCTTTACTGTGCTAAAGCTATTCGGGGTATTAGTCGCATACATTCTGCGTCCTTGTGCCGTTTGAAGGAGGGTAGGAAGTTAACTAGGTTGCTTGAATGGTCTATCCCAAGGCTTCATACAGTCCTCAAGACCCAGAGACAAGTTGCATCTATCGACGCGGCAAGTGATTGGGTCATCCTCGATGCCCTCCAGAGACGAGTTCAACTGACTCGCCACTGTTGAATCAATCAACGAACGACACCCCGGAGGTCCGACTAGGAGGGATATTGACGAATCGATTCTGCGTTCCTGTGCGTTTCGAAGAGTGTATTAGCGTAGAGAGCCACTTCAATGCGCTATCCGGGCCCAGCAAATGATCTTGAATTCTAAAAAACAAGTGAATCTATATCATCAGTCCTGACTGACTCCTTGACAGGTAAAGGAAGTGGGATATTCTGGCTCAGCAGCTATGTCGAAGGGCCAGGGACAAGTAACATCCCCTTCTTATTGCCTCGCCAATCCTATTCCTCAAAGCGTCAACAAAATGCTCTCCATCAACAGAAGTCAAAGAGGCCCACCAAGAACTAAACCCCCCGCTCAATTCCACTCCAAGCCGTCAATATCAAGCTCACTATCAGTAGCCACGTCCTCGTAATCCTCAAATCGCTCATCCTCCTCCTCCTCCTCCTCCCCCTCATCCACTGTAGAGAACCGGTACTCCACCCTTCTCAAACTCGGTGGCGTCACATCTTCCTGGCCATCACTGCACGCGAGACCGACACGTCTCTTCCTACCACCCACTTCTCACGGAACACATCGTCGCAATACATCATCACCATACAGGTATCACATTCACCCGACCATAAGTTTGGATTCACTTTTGGGTTGGAGGTGGTCGTCGTCTGCGGGTTGGTGTCCGCATTTGGGCCTGAATCTGAGTCTGCATTTGAGCCCCATGTAGTATTTCCAAAGCCATGGCTGGGTATAATAATCACAACCTCTTCCAGGTATTCAAATGGTGCTAGAACATGCGCGTAGTCGATCTACGTACGTCATCGTTCAATTTTTTTTTTTCAACACCGGGTTGAACTGAACTCACAGGCAGCCCCAAACCCCCCTCATACACCACCCCCGTCGGCCTGTCTTCAAACCGGACAAGACGGCAAAGTTGGCAAAGCTCACACCACACCGTGTCTCGCACCATCTTCAATGTCTTCAAACACCCAAAGCCTGGGGTATTAGCAATACATTGAATCGTCTCAGGCTTAGGCGACGTATGTCCGCGCAAGTCAAAGTGTTCAACCGTGGAGGCGAGGTGTAAAAAAGGTAGTGTGTCCAAGCCAGCGTCTGGGGGGATGAAAGACGACGTGAGGGTAAGCGAGAGCCAGTCCAGTCTAATGGAGGAAACGCGGAGGAAGGAGGAGAGGTTCCAGGCATAGTGGGTGTTGCGGAATGATCGGACGCAGTGGAGGTGTCTGGCCCATTTACTCCCCAGGTTAGGAAACCAACCTGAGTCTCGTAAAAAGAGTAGATCCACTGGCGATTCGATGAAAAGAGTCCGAAACCACGCTTCGAGCACCACCGCGCGATAACTTTGTGAAGTGAGGCTGAGCACATTGATCGTGCCCCATGTGGGTTTAGCTGTACAGCCGGGTCTTTCTGGAGTCGAAGAGCGCGGTGGGGCGGAGAAGAGTAGGAGATGAATGATTTCTTGGACTAGTTCTAGGGGGAGAGACATGGTGTTGGAAAGTATATTGTCAATGATACGGTCTCGTTGAAAATTCTTGTCCTAGGCCTCAAGTAACTCGGGATGCAGGTACGTTTGTCAGATTAGGCGCAGCGTTGTGGATGATCCAGTCAGAGGTGGGTATTTCGCGGATTATCTGGACTGCCAGAGGGGTTACAGTGGAGCTTGGATTGGAGGACCGACTCGGAGGTCACTGTTGATGACAGTTTTCAACATGGCAGAGCAGAAGACGTTGGCATCGTGCACAACGAAATTTGAGATGTTCAATGGGCACAAGAAGGAAGAATGAGGAAAGTCACTGTCCATGGTATCTGGTGACTAACCAGCCAACGAAGGAGAAATCATCACATCGAGGGAGAGGTAGTTCATATTCTGGAGAGGTCCCAACTTGAGAGTCCCTTCCGAGCATAGTACTATGCGTGATTCTCCTCAAAGAGATCGAGCGTATCCAAAAAAGAGGAGCCGCTGCTCAAGATACTAATACTTTCAATGTAGCCGACATTTTCATAGTTCACGATGGACAACCTTAGAGACCCGCAGCGACTTGATTTATTAGTGAGGAAATCGTGGCAGAGACGTTGGTTTTGGGTACGGAGTTGGTAGTACGGACTAATCCCGGAATGCTGGCCTAACCTGAACGTTGAATATTTGAATATTGAATGTTGAACGAACGTTGAACACTTCAAACTTGACAATGACAGTCTGGATCTTCTTATCCAAATGACATGTCCAGATCATGACGCCAAGGAGAACTTCTAAGTAGGTATTTGTTCTGTGAAAGTTAAAGTTATGCCGCTGCAACTGCTACAATTAGCACTCGGAATTAAACGACGCCGGTTGATACCTTCTGACCAAAGATCAATGGAAAAGCCTTCCTGTCAACGCAGGAGCGCTGGGGTTTGGCTGAAGTCTTTAAATACAGTCGTAAGTCGATAAATCCTTTCAAACGAACCCACTTCGCAATCATCTAACAGTATGGCGTCCACCACATCACACAGCCCACCCAACCTCACCTTCGCAGTCATCCTCCTCCCCGACTATCAATGGCTGGACTCAGCCGGACCAGTCGACTACCTGAACAACCACAGCCAAGCTCGCCTAACCGCGATGAATTCCGACCCCAAGCTCATAGCGAAAGCGCCCATCCTGACCTGGTACTATGTCGCAACCACGCTTGACCCCGTGCGCGCCTCCTCTGGCCCGACGCAACCTCCGACGCACACATTCGAGACATGCCCACCGGTTAATTACGTTCTCATGCCCGGAACCTTGCTCAACCCGACCTTGCCGCCGTCGTTCGTCAAATTCGTGCAGGAGCGGTACGCAGACCCGTCGGTCACGTTCCTCACGGTGTGCACAGGCAGTCTGACCCTAGCCCCGACGGGAATCCTGGACCACCACCGCGTGGCGTCCAACAAAGGGGCGCTGAAGTACCTCGCCCAGTCGGGGCAGTTGAACCACAAGGTGCATTGGGTGGGGGATCGCAGGTGGGTGAAGGATGGAAAGGTGTGGAGTGCGGCTGGAATCACGAGTGGGATTGATCTGGCTGCTGAATTTGCGAGGGTCTATTTTGATAAGGATGTGGTTGAGAAAGCGAAAGAGGTTGCGGAGGAAGTGCCGAAGCCTGACCAACCTGACCCGTATGCGTGGATGTTGAAAGGGATAGAATTGGGCGACGGGCACCAGCATCACCATCACCATCACGGTTGAAAGTTACCAGAGATTTTGTTCTCCATGAATGTCCAGAATGAAGTCATTGGGCTAATTAGCCAAGCATACTCCGCTGTGTTGGAGCAGCAAGTACGAGGGGTAGTGGTTGAGTGAGAAGGTAATGAATTCGGGGACTCTCAGTCCCCCTTATATACTACAAACATATGTAACTAGAATATACTACAAACTACTATAACTATCTACAGTGTCCTATATGAGACTAGTACGTGCGCGTATGCACGGGATCGGCATACCGGAGTTGCCGGTCCGCCTCGACTATTCAACACTCCCCCTCAACTCCGAATCTATGCCGATGCGAGACGTGAATCTCTCGTGAGCTGGGCGTGGTAGCGCCTTAGTAAATACATCGGCCAGATTGTCTTCTGATGCGCAGTGTTCTATTATGATTGAGTTGTCGCCGAGACGTTCGCGTACGAAATGATGTTGAATATCAATATGCTTTGACTTTGAATGTGACCCTTGATTCTTTGAAAAGTCAATTGCAGATTGGTTGTCGATATTCAGTAGTGTAGGTTTATTTTGTAATAAACCAATTTCTGTTAATAAAGTGCGAAGCCATATCGCTTCCCGAGTTGCTAAACTTGCAGCCATATATTCTGCTTCCATTGTGGATACAGCAACAGTGCGCTGTTTGCGTGATGCCCATGATATGGGTGCATTCCCGAATAGGAAAATGTATCCTGAAATAGACTTGCGATCAAGATCATTATTTCCCCAATCAGCGTCGGAATACCCTTCTAAACCTGGAATAGAGTTTCCGCCGCCATACGTTATCCCGTAGTTGCGTGTTCCGTTTAAGTATCTAAACACGCGCTTGATTGCACTCCAGTGTGCAGGGCTCGGATTGCTTGTGAATTGGCTTAAATGTTGAATAGCGTATGCAATGTCAGGCCGCGTGCCAATTGCTGCATACATTAATGATCCTATAGCCGCTGCATATTCTGGGATATCGTGATGTTCCCCTTCGGGAGTTTTAGTTAGTTTGACATTCGGATCGAGTGGCATTTTGACAGGCGTGGATTTGGACATTCCAAATCTGTCCAAGATTTTTCCCACATACTGATTTTGTGTTAAATGTATTGTGCCCTTCTTGAGATCCCTTTGAACTTCAAATCCCACTATTTGTTTGAGTTCTCCAAGATCCGAGATATCAAACTTTTGGCCAAATTCTCTTTTGAATTCTGCCATGGCTTCGTCATCTGAAGCTAAAATTAACATGTCATCAACGTGAACTCCGATGATGATGAGGTTGTTCCTGATGTGCCTAATATAGACACATTGATCTGAGAATAGCCGCGTGAAGCCGAGTTGAATGAAAGTCCTGTTTAATTTTTCATTCCACACGCGTCCGGATTGTCGTAGTCCATAGAGTGTTCTCTGTAATAATAGTACTGAGTCCGTGCCGTCCTCGTATCCGGGGATTTGCTTCATGTATATTTGTTCTTTGAGTTCACCATTTAGGTAAGCTCCCACGACGTCAACAACGTGGGCGACTAATCCGTATGATGCGGCGATAGCTAATAATAGCCGCAAGGTATCGAGGCGCATCACTGGCGCGAAAGTCTCAAAGAAATCAATTCCGGGGATTTGTGAAAATCCCTTTGCAACTAATCTTGCTTTGTGCCGTACAATTTTGCCTTCCGCGTCGTGCTTGAGGCGGAAAACCCATTTGCAATTGATGGCCACTCTATCTTTAGGGATTTTCACCTTGATGTATGTCCCTAGATTCTCTAATTGATGGATTTCCGCATCCATTGCCTTTTTCCATTCAGGCCAATCTTGACGGGATCTGGCTTCTTCAACATCTCTCGGATCGTCATTTGCATTCAGCGCTTTTTGTGCAAACATTGCATAATCACAAGTTTCCATGTTTTGCACAAAATTAGATTCTTCCTCTGTAAGGACTGGTACCTGGTGTTGCCATTCCTTAGGGCCTCTTGCCGCAGGATTATTTAGAAATCTGTAATGGAAAGGTGATTTCTCGGCAACACGTGTAGACTTTTCCCGCGTCGGGAGTGGAATTTTTGATGGCTTCGGTGTTTCCTCGGTTGTACTATTTTTAGTACTGATCTTCTCATCAGGAAGTTTATCGTCGGTTGGAGGATTGATTTGCTCATCATTCTCCCCCTCAATCTCCATAGGACGATTAATCGGAATTTCTACGTCATCATAGTCACGTATTTCCGTGTCTTCCTTTGAGAAGATAACATTGCGTGAAGTTAGAATTTGGTTGCCGTTCCAATAACGGTAACCTTTAGTACTGTCGTCAATGCCGACAAAAATGAATGGGCGTGATCTGGGGTCAAGTTTTTTATTTTTCTTGTCTTGTTGTAAAACCCAACATTTGCGGCCGAATTCTTGTAAATTTGCAATATTAGGTCTCTTGTTCCAGAATACTTCGTCAGGAGTTTTATCGTCCCTTAAGGCACGTGTGGGGGAACGATTTCGGAGATATGTAGCATATTTGACAGCTTCTGGCCAAAGATAGTAAGCCAGATGTGGATCTTGTGAATGTAACATGGCACGCGCCTCTGACACTACAGTTCGGTTTCCGCGCTCTGCAATTCCATTCTGTGAAGATGAGTAAGCTGCTGTGACCTCGAGAAATATCCCATTATC